GCTGGCCAGCGGGCAGGGGCCGCAGGGCTGGCAGCTAGTGTTGCAGGGCTGGCAGCAGGACATGGCTCGGGGTCACAGGTGCACCTGACACAGAGGGCAGGGAGAAGCACAAAGTGAGGACACATGAGAAGCAGCACTGCACCCAAACCCCCTGCAGCCCAGGCACCTCCTGGCCCCCACTGCACTGACCAGCTCAAAACCCAGGAGCCACCTCAGCCAAGTCCCATCCTCTCTCTGTTGGCACAGGAACTTCTCTCCCCTGCCCTCTCCCAGCAGAAGCAGCTCCCAGCCCTGTGCTATGACAGCCCCTCTCAGCTGAGACCTCCAGCCAGGCAGGAGCTGCTCTTGAAGGAGCAAGAGGAGAAAGGGTTTCCCACTCACCTGGTTCCTGAGGAAGAGGAGGAGGTGAGAGAAGTGGATGAGAGAGCAGAGACTTGGGCTGCCTTTTATAGCAGTCCTACCCTGCCTCAGGCCCACCGGCACCTTAGTGGAAGTCATAATTTTCTGACCAGCTCATGTCAAATGCAAACTATCCCAGCTAATAATGGGGCTGTGTCCTGTTTTCCTGCTCTGCTGCCTTTTCATTTCCTAGAGCATTCCACGTGCTTACTTTTATGCAAACTTCTGTAAGTGTCAAGATGAGAAGTTCAAGAACTTCAGGGCAGAAAGACATCAGCACAGGCACAATGCTGAGATCAAGGGCTGGCCACATCCCCTGTGGACAGGTGATGTGAACCTGTTTCATGCCTGTAGATTTGTTTACAGCAAAGTGGTCAGGAAAGGGTCACCACTCTTGTGCTTCTCACCTGCATGCCCAAGGTCTCCATTGTTTGGGCACATGACAGAGCTTCAGGTTGCTATTTCCTTCTTCCACTTTCCTCTTTCTTTTGTTGTCTTTATCTCCCAGGCCAGTCTAATGAAGACATGTTGCCCTCCGTCAGGAGAGGCTGACAGACAACATGAAGGATCATGAAGGATCGCCACTGCATTTTAATGTCCGCCCCTCATTCTCCCTGTAGGAACTATTCCAGTCTGCTCAGGAAAAAGAGGAAGAAGAGGGTGGGATACTTGCAGTGGATTTTACTTTGTGCCCTTTCCCTTGGAGCTGATGAAGACATCCCCTGCTACTCTACAGCCAAAGGCAATTAGACCACTAATCCAAAATATATTGGCAGTGGTGATAGAGAACAATAGTGCTGGGGAACAGCCCACAGCTTCACCTCTTCGTTTTCCTCTGTTCTGTTGCCAAGTGTAGATGGCCAGCACACCTCATACCTCCTTTAGTGCATGGCTAAAGGGCCCAGCTGCTGTTATATTCAGTTCTCAGATATTTCACTGATTGGAATCCTTGATATTAAAATCAAGATGGAAAGGCTAGTGAGTTTCCAAGCATAACTGGTGAGCATAATGGTCTCTACAGTTTCTTGACTGAAACATAAGGGTCCAGTAACATCTTGGTGAGGTTTCTATGGTTGCACGTTTTAAACACAGAGCTCCTAATATCTCTATACCTTATTCATCACTATTTTCTACTTATAATCATAGCTAACCTTTTCTATATCATAAAATTGATTATTTGATCAAAATATTTGTAACAAGGGGAAAAACAGTAGGAGAACACTGCTCTTGCTGGGACAAAGAGGAAGCAGAAAACATAGCCAGTGAAGGACTAATATTCCATGCACCTCTAATTCCCATGGTTAATGTAAAACCAGAAATATCCTGGCTGGCTTCCAGTGCCCCAGATGCTTGCTCCCTCCCTTTCCTTCCTCTATGGGTCAGGAGCAAAAGTAAGGTTGAAATGGTCACAGCTCAAGATGAAGATAGAAGAGTTGAATATCAATAACAGCCATGGGAAAAGGAGACTTGACTTGGGGAACATTCATTTTACTTACTGCCAGTTAAAACTAGAGCAGGATGATGAGAAGCCACAAAAAAAAAAAAAATCTTCATCCCATCCTCACCTCTTTTTCACAGCTTCAACTTCCCTCTTTCATTCTTCTGTTTTCTCCACCCCGAAGCAGTGCAGTGAGATGCAGAATGTGAGGTTGTGGTCTGTACACAACTGTTCATTCATGTCACTGTTTACTCCTGCTCAAGTATGAGCTCTTCTCAGAGACTGAAAACTATTGAGATTGGATCATGTCAAGTGTGCATCATGCCTATGGGCTTCAGTTGTACCACCTTGAGTCCTCCAGGGGCCACCAGTTTGCCAGGAGCCTGCTTCAGCATGGGCTCTGCACAGACCACAGGGTCTGTTCCTGCAGGGTCTATGTAGCTGCTCTGGCATGGGATCATCCATGGGCTTCTCTGTGGATACCTGCTGCACCATTGTCTCTTCCATGGACTACCTGGGAACCTCTGCACCATTGCCTGGTGCAACTTCTCCTCCTCCCCTTTCTCTGGTCTTGGTGTCTCACATTTTTTGGGTCATCCCTCACTTCTAGTGGAGTGTGATGCCCTTTCCTGAATGTGCCTTCATGGAGACACCACCAGCATTGCTAATTTGCTCATGTGGGGCAACAGTGCATCCATTTAGGAGCTGGCTGAAGCAGACTCTGTTATGTGCGACTGTTCCTGGATTCTTCTTACAATGACCTTTCTTTCAATCTACTTTCCCCACTACCAAACTTTCTCAAGAAAAATGGTATTATTATTCACACTTAAAGAATCAAAAGAAATGCTCAAAAAAACCCAGCCATCTCATGTCCTCTCTAATTCCTACAGGAAATGGAACAGGTGCAGCTAATTAGGATCATTTCCTTAATATTATTATTGTCAGATATTAACTCATAGATTCATGGACTCACTGAATATCCTGATTCGGAAGGGACCCATCAGGATTATCAAATCCAACACCTGGCCTTGCACATACACCCCAACAATGCCACCCTGTGCCTGAGAACATTGTCCAAATGTTCCTTGAGCTCTGTTAGCCTTAGGGGTTGTGACCATTCCCTGGGGAGCCTGTTCAGTGCCTGACTGCCCCGAGGGAAGAATCTTTTCCTAATAGCCAACCTAAACCTCCCCTAACACAACTTCATGCTTTTCCCTTGAGTCTTGTCCCTGGTCACTAGACAGAAGAGATCAGTGTCTGCCCCTCCACAAGTCATAGATTGCACTGAGGTCTCCCCTGAGCCTCCCCTTACCCAGACTGAATAAACCAAGTGACCTCAGTGACTCCTCATAAGGCTTTCCCTCCAGACCCTTCACCACCTTTGTGTCCCTCCTTTGGACACTTTCTAACAGCTTAATCTTTCTTATATTGTGGTGCCCAAAACTACCCCCAGAACTTAGGGCGAGTCCACCCCCATGCTCAGCCGAGTGGGACAATCCCCTTCCTTGCCCAGCTGGCAATGCTGTGCCTGATGCCCCTCCCGGACACTCCTGGCCCTCCTGGCTGCCAGGACACTGCTGACTCATACCCAACTTGCCATCAATGAGGACCCCCAGGTCTCTTTCCTCAGCTCTGATCTCCAGCCTCTCTGCCCCTAGTCTCTTTGTACATCCCAGGTTGCACCATCCCAGGTGCAGAACCGGGTACTTGCCCTTACTGAACTTCATGTGGTTGGTGATTGCCTACCTCTAATTTGTTGAGGTCTCTTAGCAGAGCCTCTCTGCCTTTGAGGGAGTTGACAGCTCCTCCCAGTTTTGCATACTCTGCAAACTTAGTATTTGTTCAAGTCCTGCATCCCAGTTATTCATAAAGGTGTTGAAGAGGATTGACCCTAAAAGTGAGGAACCTTATTGGAGACCATTTGCCAATCAGGTGTCACCCCACCACTGTCATCCTTTGTGCATGACCCATGAACCAGCTGCTCAACCATCACACAACGCATTCATCCAGCTGTGTCCTGGACATTTTGTCCAGAAGGACCCTGTGAGAAACAGTATCAAAAATTTCAGAGAAATACTAAAAAGATTGCATAAGTTCGCTACCATTCATCAGCTAGGTGGCTCACCTTGTTGTGAAAGGAAATTAGGTTTGACAAGCAGGGTTTTCTTCACATGAACTCACACTGGTTGTGAAAAATGACCGCCATTTTAATCATGTGTTTCTGAATACCCCCTAGAGTAATCTTCCTGCTAATTTCACCAGGAATTTTACTACAAGCCTAGACTGAAACACATGTGCTCACACATGGCTTCATGGAACAAACAAAAAAATGTTCATTCAAATAAGGTCAGGAAACGTCATTAGCAGAGAACTCTGTTGTGGAGACGCAGTATGTCCCCTCACAGCAGAGTTCTTGGGCATATGGGAGAGAAGCACAAGAGCAATGCCCATTTTCTGACAACTTTGACATGGCCAAGACCACAGGAATGACAGAGGTAAAAATCGCCTGCCCACAGAGAATGCAAATAACAATTAAACTAAGATTTCTGCCTGTGCTGACGTCATTCTGCCTCGGAAATCACTGATGCTCTCATCCCAGCGCTTACAGAAACAGATCTTCATATAGGAAAGCACGCGGAATTAGCCAGGAAATGAAAAGGTAGCAGTACAGGAAAACAGGACACAGCCCCATTATTAGCTGGGATAGTTTGCATTTGAAATTATCTGGTCAGAAAATTATTACTTCCACTAAGGTGCCTCTGAGCCTGAGGCAGGGCAGGACTGCTATAAAAGGCAGGCCAAGTCTCTGCTCTCTCATCCACTTCATTCACCTCCTCCTCCTCAGGAACCAAGTGAGTGGGAAGCCTCTTCTCCTCCTCCTGCTGCTGCTTCAAGAGCAGCTCTTGCCTGGCTGGAGGTCTCAGCAGAGAGGGGCTGTCGTAGCGCAGGGCTGGGAGCTGCTTCTGCTGGGAGAGGGCAGGGGAGGGAAGGTCTGGTGCAGACAGAGAGAAGCTGGGACTTGGCTGAGGGAGATCCTGGGCATGGGGCTGGGCACTGCACTGGGGACCAGGAGGTGCCTGGGCTGCAGGGTGTTTGGGTGCAGTGCTGCTTCTCATGTGTCCTCACTTTGTGCATCTCCCTGCCCTCTGTGCCAGGTGTGCCTGTGACCCCGAGCCATGTCCTGCTGCCAGCCCTGCAACCCTTGCTCCCAGTCCTGCGGCCCCTGCCCGCTGGCCAACAGCTGCAATGAGTGCTGTGTCAGGCAGTGCCAGAGCTCCCACGTTGTCATTGAGCCGCCTGCTGTGCTGGTGACCCTGCCCGGCCCCATCCTCAGCTCCTTCCCACAGAACACCGCCGTGGGATCCTCCACCTCTGCTGCTGTTGGCAACATCCTCAGCTGTGGCGGAGTGCCCATCAGCTCTGGGGGCTTTGACATCTCCTGCATCACCAACTGCTATGGTGGCAGCAGATGCCGTCCCTGCTAAATCTGTTGGCAAAGTCTTCCTGCATGAACTTCCAAGACCTCAGAATGGAGATCTGGGCATGAGATCAAGATTTGGAACATTGTGTTTACAGCACCAAGACATTGTTCCCTTCTCCCACCTTTTTTTCCTCTTTGCTGTCCATGTCGCCTCAGGCCAGTCTAATGGGGACATGTGACCCTCGCTCCCTGTTTTGGGCAAGCAGATGCACACTCTGCAGGAGCTCCACTACATCTTAGTGGCTGCACCTGGTGCTCTCTGTGAGCAACCTCCTTTTCCTCTTTACACTCAATAAAGTTGTTTTGCATCCAAGCCTGGGCCTCTAAGTCCTTCTTTCTTCTCTAGAAAATCTTCCAGTCCACTCAGGGAAAATAGGTGGAGGTAACAGAGAGTGTAATTCCCTGCAGTGGATTTTTCTTCCTGCCCTTTTCCTTGGGGCTGACAAAGTCCCCCCTGGCTACTCAGCAGCTAAAGGCCATCAGGGAGACATCAGGCAACACTTGTGAAGGGAAACAAGAATCTTTGGGTCCAGCTCACAGCTTCATCTCCTCTTTCGCCTCCACTCCCTCACCTAGTCTAGTGATGCGGCCACTGAAGCCCGGGCTACCTCTGGCGAAACTCTGGCACCACACTGGGAGGGGGGAACAGCTGAGGTTTGGATCTTACCTGCAACTGAACCTGAAGAGCAGCTTGCTCTATAGTGAAGAATGTCACAGCCACGGCAGGGATCAGGCAAAGGAAAAGGAAGAGGCTCTCTGCTCTTAAGGTTCCAAAAGGGAAGATTGAGGTTCCAAGCGAAGGGACCAGGAACAAAAGGGCCTTAAGCACTGCTGTGCTTGGGTTTCACACAGTTACAAATCAGGCGGGGATACAAATAAACAATGGAGAGATATCAAGGGAGGAGCCAGGGGATTACATAAACACATCAGAACTAATCAGGGTAGGTGGGAGGAGAGGATAAATCACATGGGCCAATGGGGCTGCAAAGTTTACAGGACTTCCAAAGAGGTGTTGCAGTCTGGGATTGGCCCAAGGTAAGAGTGGCAGGGAAAGGTTCAGGACTAAGGGGCTGGGTTGCCTTGACAGGCAGGGAAAGAGCTGGAACAAGGGGTGGGGAATGGCATGAGGGATAGCTTTGAGAGAGGGTACAACCCAGGGGCAAACCAACTCAGGACAACATAGGGGTACAACAGAACAAACCACTTAACAAGGAATCAGTGAAATAAATTTGAACTGCAACAGTCTAGGGTCAGCGGCTCCCACACAAGAGCACAAGCAGATGAGATGCACTCCCTGAGCACAGGCAGGCAAGGCTGTCCAGATATGCAGGGCTGAGGTAATTCACAAGTTAGGATTGGTGCCAGTCATATACTCAGGATATAGTCTGGTAAATGAGTTTTGGTTGAGTTGGTGCAAAGGATTTATGGCTTCTGTATTAAATCACATTTCTCCCATGTATGGATGGATATAACCTTTCCATCAATGTCTTCCTGACTGAAGCCTTGAATTATGTCTTAAATTGTGGGAAACATTAGTTAATATGCTGGTTTGTGCCTGTTTTTTCTAGATGCTGTTACTACTTGAAATTTTTAAAACGGTGAGAGAAAGGAAAACTATCTCCTCTCTTGATCATTTCAGACCCCTTGTCTCATTTTTCTTCCTCCAATCCTCCATCACTTCTGCCCCTTCCTTCTGAGTTGTCTCAGCTTAGTCTTTCAAAGTCATATGAACTGAAAAAGTATTGCAGAATCTCTTTCTCTCTTTGCAGTAAACATTTTCTTACTTTGTAACCCAAACAAACAGGACCTTTGATAGTTGATGCAGGGAAACAAAAGCTCTCTCATCCCACTCATTCTTAGGATGTCCCAGTCTCTCCTCTAGCTGGCATGTGTTGTGCAGCTTGGCCTGACTGTCCATTCCTCCTGCATGTTCGCAGTGCCAGGACTTGCTTTTTTTTCTCTCTCTTAACCTCAGAGACTTCCCAAGGGATGCAAAATGAGGAGCAGGATTAAACATCTCACAGGTCTCTCATCCTGCTGGAGGTGTTCTGGAGCCAGCACCAGGCACTACAGGCTGTTCCCTGGAGCCCATTGTTCCCTTTTACTTTTTTTGTCTTTCCTTTGCTCTCTGTGTCTCCCAAGGCCAGCCTAAGGGGACATGTTGCCCTCCCTCCCTCCCTCTTTTGGCCAGACAGATGGACACCCTGCAGGAACTCCACTGCATCTTTGTGGCTGCTCCTGGTGCTGTCTGTGAGCCACCTCTGTTTCTACTTTATATTCATTAAAGTTGTGCATCCAAGCCTTGGCCTCTGAGTTGTTCTTCTTTCTGTGGCAATTGTTCCAGTCTGCTCAATTAGGAGGTGAATGGGCAGAGCGTGGGAGTCCCTGTAGTGGATTTTCCTTTCTGCCTTTTCCTTTGGAGTTGATGATGAACATCCCTGGCTACTCTATAGCCAATGGCAAACAGGAAAAAGATGGCTCCAAAGGGTGGCATGAATGAGGAAGAGAAACAGCAATGTCTGGGACCAGCCCACAGCCTCATCTCTTCCTTCTCATCCCCTGAATTACCCAGTCTAATGTCCATGAGCAGCACATGTGGTCAAAAGCAGACAAGACAGTTACATCACAGAGTCCTTCAGCACCTGGCAGAACCCAGCTGCTGTCCAGACATGCAGGGCTGAGGTGATGCAGAAGATGGGATCAGTATCTGCCAATCAAGTTACCATGGGGTCCCACCCTTAAAGTGTAGAAAACACTCCAAAGTTCATAAATGCTCACAGTCAAAATAAATAATCTGCATTTTTAAAAAAAATATTTGTAAATTACATGCTTAGTGTGGATCTTGATATGTTATAGTAGTCCCAGACCTACTATATAAGCACATGACAGTGGGTTTTGGATTAAGTAGCTTGGTGAAAGACAAGACAGAAATTAAAGAGGGAGAGATGAATTAATGAGGGGAAAATGGAAAGAAATAGAGGGAAAGAGAGAGAAACAGAGAGAATAAAAAGTCTTGGTACCAGCATCAATCCAGTGGGTGAGATGTCAGTCCTGGCTTCAGCATCCATCCATCTGTGCTAGTCTAGTCCATTGGATGTTCAAGCTCCTGGGGGCAGTCCCAGATTTGGGGGATACCTTTCCATGGATAGGTAACTGCCCCAGTTACAGGTTTCTTGCTTTCTATGAGTTCTCATACACAGTCTGTTCTTTCAGACCTTTCTGGAAATGGGTGGGAAGTTTCAGGGATCTTTGGTGACCTTGATCCTCCCCTACAGCCCATGTGCACCTCATTCATCTCCTTGTGCTGTCCCATGTTTTGCTTCTCTTCAGGAACTACAGCAAGGCTGGTTGGTTGTTCCAGGAAAATGCTGTCCTACCTCTGTATGGCCCCTTCTCCAGCCACATCCTGTTTTTTCTCATAGCATCTTCAGAAACTCCTGAAGGCACGGCTGGACTCAAAAATTCAGGCACACAGTGTTCCTATGGATCTTGTTTGGCTCCTCCCATGCTCTTCCTGCCCAGAGTTCATGGCACAGGCACCATCTGTGTCCATCTCACTAAGCACTGGTGTAGGAGCACTGAAGAAGAGGGACTCTTGCGCATGTCTCAAACCCACAGATTGATGGCTGTGCAGCCACCTGGGGGTTCTTGCTAAGAAGCTGTGAGAACAAATGGGATGTGGCTGGAGAAGGGCCATGTGGAGGCAGCACAGCACTTTTCTGAGATAAATGGCCTTGTTCTGCCTGGATACTCCATCAGCTGAATCAATGCTTGAGCCAGGACTGCTGACCTGTCTTCCTTTTTTTCTCTCATTTAATGTCTCTCTCTTGCTTCTCTTTCACTCTACCATATATTGACAATTGTCTTTGTTTAAAAGACAGGTGTCTGCCAAGGAAAGCGAGAACCTTCATGGAATGGAAAATATTACACCCTACCCTCTAAATAATTATAACTTTGAAATTATGGGGCTGTCAGACAAAGACACAGGAAAAGTTCTTTACTAGGATGATTATAACAAGGCAAACAAACAAACAACAGCAGCAGCAGCAAACAGAAGCAGACCCCCAGTCCCGGCCTCTCATGGGACTGGAATAATAATTTTATTATTTGACTAAACTGCATTTAAAGAGACAGAACAGAGATACTCTGAGCGGGAAAAGTTCATTACTCCTAGCTGTTATACACCTTGAGCAATTAAGGAGTAACCTTAATTGCTAGAGTCTAGGCCAACTCTGCTGAGACTTGTACTGTTTTATCTTTCCAGGAACATTACCGGGAATTGTGCCAGCACATCCCACTAAAGATTAAGTTACTTATCAAAGAACTGCTTATCATTTTTGTAGAAGCAGTCATTGCCAGCAGGAACCAAATTTGGTTGACACATCAACAAGCTCAACCCACAGGTTGAAACCCTCACTGCTTTTGTTTGTGTTAATCAATCTGGTAACCATATGCATTCTGCACTACACGCTTCTCTCTTGTGGGTGCAATTTACTGGGGCAGCAATTACAAAGGAAGGTGGCATTTCAAAGGGAACCTGGGAAAATACAAAAGGGAAATCCACTCCTAGCAACTAGATAAGAGTAGCAACTGTTAATTTTCCTTTATGACCCCACTAATAGTAAGCCACACCTTTTGTTTTAACAGTACATGGTGCTTCAATATATACCAAATCATTGTGTCAGGATTAAGTCCCAATAGAGATGCACTCCAGCCCCTAGAGTACAGAGTATGGACCTGATGGAATGCATGTGCTTGTGTGAGAACCCCTTATGATTTTGTGTTTGTAGGCAACGTTATTGTACATATAAATATCCTAGTATTTGTGCTTGTAACTTTGTTGACATTATGGGATGTGATTTTAGTTATTTGGCTCCTATTAAATCTTACCGATTGTTATGATTTAATTATACATTGACTTAAGAAAAGCAGCCTGTTCCTACTGAATGAACTTGACTAGGATGCGAAAGATGCTATTGAGGGAAGTTTGAGAAAATGGACAGAAAATTTTGATTACATTCATCCTGATATAGAAAAATTCACAGGGTGATGGAGCAACCAAAGAAAGACAGAGAACACCACCGTTGGGACATTTTATTTGGATGGTCACCAAGAGCAACAGAAGCTCATGATAAAATCTTGCACCCTTGGATTGTCCTTCTGATGTCCTTTCTGCCTTTTATTTTCATAATCAGATTGTATATAAAAAATGTGGGGGATTATAGAGAAATTAACCTCCAAATTCAGAGATAGCTTATATAGTTTTTCCTCTTTCTCTACTTCTCCTTTTTCAGTCCAAGTCCGTGTGGATATTTGACCCACAAGTGGCACAGAAGCCCAGATGATAAGGCGTCTCAAACACCAATAACAGATAGCCAGGGAGTCAACCAAGGACTGTTGGTAAGAAGGCACTGTGAGAAACGGGGTGTGGCTGGAGAAGGGGCCATACACAGGTAGGCAGCCCATTTTTGCAACAAACATCCTTGTTCTTTCTCCTGGAGACAAGCATAACACAGTATAGTACAAACACAGGAATGAGGTCACAAAGTGAGTGTGGACTGTCAATCAAAGGTTGATCTACCAGTGACCCAGCAGTGGGCACTGGTTTAATCAAAGGACTCATCCAGAAAAATGTTGATGGACAAATTACATACATTCATACAGGCTAGATTGTGTTACAAATTCATAATAAAGTCATAAGACATTTGCACAAATTCAGCTTAAAGTCATTTACCACTGCATTAGCCTGCGTGTGGCTGATAGGAAACTTGTGAATTACCTCAGCCCTGCATGTCTGGGATACCAGCCGAGTCCTGCCTGTGCTGAGGAAATGTATCTCATCTACCCATGCCCCTGTGTGCAGGACATGGACTGTAGACCAGCTAATGGAGGGGAGGAGAAGGAAGAAGTGAGGTTATAGGCTGTCCCCAGACATTGCTGTTTCCTTACACAACTTTTGCAAACTTTGGAGCCATGGTCTTCCTGATGAGCTTTGCCTGTTGAGTAGGCAGGTATGACTTTGCCGGCTTCAGGGCAGTTGATCCCCCTTCTTTCTCCACCATTTTCCCTGAGCAATATGTAAAGCCTGACAGAAAATTAAGGATGACTCAGAGGCTAAGGCTTGGATGCAAAAGTTCTTTATTGAGTCTCAAGAGAAGGACATGGCTCACAGAAAGCACCAAGAGCAGCCACTTAGATGCAGTGGAGCTCCTGCAGGGTGTCCATCTGCCTGCGCTAAAGAGGAAGAGAGGCAAACAGGTGCCCAGGGCTGGCCTGGGGACCATGGACATCACAGAAAGAAGATGGAATAGTAGGAGAAAGAAATCATCCCAAAACTGTAAAGAGAATGTCCAGAAGCTCTATCTTCTGCCCAGAATCATGTTCTGCCCAGAATCATGTTCTGAGGTCTTGGAGGTTCATGCAGGAAGACTTTGCCAACAGATTTAGCAGGGACGGCATCTGCTGCCACCATAGCAGTTGGTGATGCTGGAGATGTCAAAGCCCCCAGAGCTGATGGGCACCCCACCAGAGCTGAGGATGTTGCCAACAGCAGCAGAGGTGGAGGATCCCACGGCGGTGTTCTGTGGGAAGGAGCTGAGGATGGGACCGGGCAGGGTCACCAGCACAGCAGGCGGCTCAATGACAACATGGGAGCTCTGGCACTGCCTGACACAGCACTCATTGCAGCTGCTGGCCAGCGGGCAGGGGCCGCAGGACTGGGAGCAAGGGTTGCAGGGCTGGCAGCAGGACATGGCTCGGGGTCACAGGTACACCTGGCACAGAGGGCAGGGAGAAGCACAAAGTGAGGACACATGAGAAGCAGCACTGCACCCAAACACCCTGCAGCCCAGGCACCTCCTGGCCCACGTTACCCTGCCCAGCTCAAAGCCCAGGAGCCACCTCAGCCAAGTCCCAGCCCGTTCCGTCAGCACAAGACCTTCTCTCCCCTGCCCTCTCCCAGCAGAAGTAGCTCCCAGCCCTGCACTATGACAGCCCCTCTCTGCTGAGACTTCCAGCCAGGCAAGAGATGCTCTTGAAGAAGCAGCAGCAGGAGGAGAAGAAGAGGCTTCCCACTCACCTGATTCCTGAGGAGGAGGAGGTGAGAGAAGTGGATGAGAGAGCAGAGACTTGGGCTGCCTTTTATAGCAGTCCTGCCCTGCCTCAAGCCCAGAGGCACCTTCGTGGAAGTTGTAATTTTCTGACCAGGTCATGTGAAGCGTGCACCATCCCAGTTAATGGTAGGGTCTGCGTCCTTGTTTCCTGCACTGTGGCCTTTTCATTTCCTGGCTTCTGCCACGTGCTTTCCTATGTGAACATCTCACTCTGTCAGTGCTGGGATGAGAGGCTCAAAGATTTCTGAGGTAGAAGTCTCAGATCAAGGTATGTTTGCATTCCTTGTGGGCAGGTGATGTTCACTTGGGACATTTCTGAGTGGTTTGGTTTTGTCCATGTTGTCAGGAAATGGGCACCCCTTTTGTGCCTTTTGCCCACACACCCAAGGACTGCCACGTGAGGGGCATGACAGAGTTTCTTCCCCTCTGCTCTTACTTAGCACTTGTTCTCTGTGTCTCCCCAGGACAGTCTAAGTCAGGATGTTTTGCCCTCTCTCCCTCTGCATGGCAGGCAGATGAACACCATGCAGGAGCTCCACTGCATCTCAGTGACTGTGGTCTCCTTTTCTTCCTTAGACTCATTAAAGTTGTTGTGCTCTCATGCCTTGGCCTCTAAGTTCTCCTTTGTTCTGTGGCAACTCTTACAATCTGCTCATGTACAAAGTTAAAAAGGGCAGGGGGTGGGAGTCCTCGCAGTGGATTTTCCTCTGTGTTCTTTCCCTTGGCACAAACGAAGACATCCTTGACTACTGCACAAACAGAGGCCACCAATGAAATCATAAGTTCAAAGGGTGGCAGTAGTGAGGATAAGATATAATAATTCCTTTGCCTTCAGCCTTGAGTAATGCTCTAATCCATGTCATCCCCCAGATATCCATGGTTTCCTGCATGCAGAAAAGGAACTCTTCAAGGCACTGCTGGGCTCAGAAAAATAACTGGGGTACAGAGTGTCCCATGAAGGCTGTGAGGTTCCACACACACTCCTGCTCTCAGTTCAGAGCAGAGACATAATCGTTCTCCATCTTACTGGCCCCTGTGCACATCTTGCTATGTCCAGAAACCAAGGCTTCATCTGCTCCTGCTGAGACCTAAGCAATGGTCTCAGTTGCCACCACTCAAATCATCTCCAGTTCCTCTTCACTCAGCATGTGTCCCTCATGGACAGCCCCTCCATGTTGGTACTTATGCTGAAACTCTCAGTGCTCCTGGTAGATCCCATTTATTCACTAAAATACTGTGATAAGGTCCTCTTCAGGAATCCTGTTGTCTAGGGAGAAAAGGTCACACTCCTCATAGCACAGGTTCTCCAACTCTCTGCCTTTCTTTGATACACACAGTGCGGGGCCGGGAGAGCAGCTTCAGGATCGGGATCAGCAGAGGCCACATCAGGTGACTTGGATTAAGCAATAGCTTTCCTGGGTGCAGGTGGGCCAGTCAGCAGAACCACCTGGGAGAGGATGACCACAAACCCAATGTACATATGACCAGAGCTTGCAGGAAGCAATGGTTTTCCTGGCGACAAGGAAAGTCTCCATCAACTTTGATGCAGCAGTGGAGGAATGCCAGATCTTCACAAAGGAAACATGACGAGGAAGAACAATTGCAGTAAGGTCTGCAGGTACTGATTGCTCCATGCAGGGCCATCCTTCACTAGGGTTACATGATATGTGGAGAAGAAAAGGTTCATTGTATGTGTGGTAATTCCTGATTGCACTGACCTTCTGATTGTCTCATTCTTAATTGTCTAATTCAAATGCCCAAGACTCCTGACAGCTGCACAGTCACAGAATCATGAGACCGCCTTCAAGATCATCAAGTCCAACCATAAATCTAACACAGCCCACTCTACCACTAACCCATGGTCCCATGTGCCACATCTACACTTTGTTGAAATCACCTCCAGGAGTGGTGACTCAACCTCCTCCCTCAACAGTGTGTTCCAATGCTTGATATTGAATTTTTCCCTGATATCCAATCTAAACTTCCCCTGGTGCAACTTGAGGCCAATTCCTTTTGTCTTGTTACTTGGGAGCAGAGACTGACGCCCACCTCACTACAGCCTCCTTCCAATAACAGGCAGTGTTAGACTGATAAACTTTCCCCTTGACCTCCTTTTCTCCTGATGAAATAAATCCAGCTCTCTCTAAAAGGGAGATCATAGGTGGAGGTTTTCTCACATGTCACTGGGAAGAGAAGAGAACACAATTTTTCTGAATACTCTTATGACAGCACTAGGGTCAAACCCTCCCATCAGAAGCACACCTGAGTATAATACTGAGTGTTGATCACAGAGTAATGAAGAAAGCAAAAGAAAAACTGTCTCATGTCACATGCAGACCTTGGGCATGTGTACAAGAAGCATGAAGGCAGGGTTAATTTCTGGCACCAGAGGAGTCCTGGAGAATGACACAGGTACAAATCACCTGGATGCCACTGGCCCTTCATCTAAACCTTCTTTGTCCACTGATGTAGTTCTGCCCTGAAATCCTTGATGCTGTCATGCTGGCACTTTGAGAAATGACCCTTCATAGGAAAGCATGTGGCAGAACCCAGGAAATGAAAAGGCCACAGTGCAGGAAACCAGAACACAGCCCCTACCATTAGCTGGGATAGTTCACATTTGACATGAGCTGGTCAGAAAATTATTACTTCCACTAAGGTGCCTCTGGGCCTGAGGCAGTGCACGACTACTATAAAAGGCAGCCCAAGTCTCTGCTCTCTCATCCACTTCTCTCACCTCCTCCTCCTCCTCAGGAATCAGGTGAGTGTAAAACCTTTTCTCCCTCTGCTGCATCAAGATCAGCTCTTGCCTGGAGGAGAGGAGAGGGCTGTCGTAGCGAGGGGCTGGGAGCTGCTTCTGCTGGGAGAGGGCAGGGGAGAGAAGGTCTTGTGCTGACACAGAGAGGCTGGGACTTGGCTGAGGTGGCTCCTGGGCTTTGAGCTGGGCAGTGCAGTGGGGGCCAGGAGGTGCCTGGGCTGCAGGGGGTTTGGGTGCAGTGCTGCTTCTCATGTGTCCTCACTTTGTGCTTCTCCCTGCTCTCTGTGCCAGGTGTGCCTGTGACCCCGAGCCATGTCCTGCTGCCAGCCCTGCAACCCTTGCTGCCAGCCCTGCGGCCCCTGCCCGCTGGCCAACAGCTGCAATGAGTGCTGTGTCAGGCAGTGCCAGAGCTCCCACGTTGTCATTGAGCCGCCTGCTGTGCTGGTGACCCTGCCCGGGCCCATCCTCAGCTCCTTCCCACAGAACACCGCCGTGGGATCTTCCACCTCTGCTGCTGTTGGCAACATCCTCAGCTCTGGTGGGGTGCCCATCAGCTCTGGGGGCTTTGACATCTCCAGCATCACCAACTGCTATGGGGGCAGCAGATGCCGTCCCTGCTAAATCTGTCGGCAAAGTCTTCCTGCATGAACTTCCAAGACCTCAGAATGGAGATCTGGGCATGAGATCAAGATTTGGAACATTGTGTTTACAGCACCAAGACATTGTTCCCTTCTCCCACCTTTTTTTCCTCTTTGCTGTCCATGTCGCCTCAGGCCATTCTAATGGGGACATGTGACCCCCTCTCCCTGTTTTGGGCAAGCAGATGCACACTCTGCAGGAGCTCCACTGCATCTTAGTGGCTGCACCTGGTGCCCTCTGTGAGCAACCTCCTTTTCCTCTTTACACTCAATAAAGTTGTTTTGCATCCAAGCCTGGGCCTCTAAGTCCTTCTTTTTTCTCTAGAAAATCTTCCAGTCCACTCAGGGAAAATAGGTGGAGGTAACAGAGAGTGTAATTCCCTGCAGTGGATTTTTCTTCCTGTCCTTTTCCTTGGGGCTGGCAAAGTCCCCCCGGCTACTCAGCAGCTAAAGGCCATCAGGGAGACATCAGGCAACACTTGTGAAGGGAAACAAGAATCTTTGGGTCCAGCTCACAGCTTCATCTCCTCTTTCGCCTCCACTCCCTCACCTAGTCTAGTGATGCAGCCACTGGAGCCTGGGCTACCTCTGGCGAAACTCTGGCACCACACCGGGAGGGGGGAACAGCTGAGGTTTGGATCTTACCTGCAACTGAACCTGAAGGAGCAGCTTGCTCTATAGTGAAGAATGTCACAGCCACGGCAGGGATCAGGCAAAGGAAGAGGCTCTCTGCTCTTAAGGTTCCAACGGGGAAGATTTGAGGTTCCAAGCGAAGGGACCAGGAACAAAAGGGCCTTAAGCACTGCTGTGCTTGGGTTTCACACAGTTACAAATCAGGCGGGGATACAAATAAACAATGGAGAGATATCAAGGGAGGAGCCAGGGGATTACATAAACACATCAGAACTAATCAGGGTAGGTGGGAGGAGAGGATAAGTCACATGGGCCAATGGGGCTGCAAAGTTTACAGGACTTCCAAAGAGGTGTCGCAGTCTGGGATTGGCCCAAGGTAAGAGTGGCAGGGAAAGGTTCAGGACTAAGGGGCTGGGTTGCCTTGACAGGCAGGGAAAGAGCTGGAACAAGGGGTGGGGAATGGCATGAGGGATAGCTTTGAGAGAGGGTTCAACCCAGGGGCAAACCAACTCAGGACAACATAGGGGTACAACAGAACAAACCACTTAACAAGGAATCAGTGAAATAAATTTGAACTGCAACAGTCTAGGGTCAACGGCTCCCACACAAGAGCACAAGCAGATGAGATGCACTCCCTGAGCACAGGCAGGCAAGGCTGTCCAGATATGCAGGGCTGAGGTAATTCACAAGTTAGGATTGGTGCCAGTCATATACTCAGGATATAGTCTGGTAAATGAGTTTTGGTTGAGTTGGTGCAAAGGATTTATGGCTTCTGTATTAAATCACATTTCTCCCATGTATGGATGGATATAACCTGTCCATCAATGTCTTCCTGACTGAAGCCTTGAATTATGTCCTAAATTATGGTCAAATTGTGGGAAACATTAGTTAATATGCTGGTTTGTGCCTGTTTTTTCTAGATGCGGTTACTACTTGAAAATTTTAAAACAGTGAGAGAAAGGAAAACCATCTCCTCTCTTGATCATTTCAGACCCCTTGTCTCATTTTTCTTCCTCCAATCCCTCCATTGCTTCTGCCCCTTCCTTCTGATTTGTCTCAGCCTAGTCTTGATAGTGAAAAATAAAAATAAATTAAAAATTGAGTAATTCAAAACAACACTGACAGCGTCAGAGTACGACCTGACAACCTGTGGGTCAGGGTGTTGGTAACAGTCTCACTGAATGGTGGCTGCAGCCCTCCTACATTGCCAGGTGTGGTTCTGTTGGAGCAATGATCCTGTTGAAGAGGGGAGTTTTTCTCTGAAGTTCCAGTGGTGGTATAGATGTGCCTGGCTTTCCTCTGCGAATCCAGTGGAGAAGGAAGTTGTTCTTCTGTGAATCCAGTGGGAAAACCTGACTGTGGTGTTCAGATTTTTTCCAGGTAGGAATGCTTGGCTCCTCCACCTGGGTGGAGCATCTCCCATTAGGATGATGAAATTTTCTTAGCCATGCGGGGACACTCACTGGCCATGGACAGAAAAGATCTCCTGGAAGGAGGATTGGTTGTGGGAGAGATAAAGAAAACTGCCCAATGAACAGCAGATAACTGACCCATGTCTAACAGATGGTAATATAATGCACACCCCCAGCCACATCTTGCATTTCCAATACAAGACACTATGGGAGGTAAATAGCATTATTTTGCTGTGGGATGCATGCTGAGTTGAGGTCTCAAAACTCCTGCCCGAACACCCCCCACCCCCTTGCGTTTCCTGTAAATGTGGCTGTAGCACAGAACAAGAAACAAAAAGGGAGCCTTTTCTGCTGCTGCTTTGCACCCCCTTGTTTCACATCCTGGAACTTTTCCCTGCAGAATCTCATGTTTTCTTCCAAGTACTATTGGGCAGATCACTGTCACCCAGAAATGACAATGGAGAGGGAAGGGAAGGGGAGGGGAGGGGAGGGGAGGGGAGGGGAGGGGAGGGAGGGGAGGGGAGGGGAGGGGAGGGGAGGGAGGGGAGGGGAGGGGAGGGGAGGGGAGGGGAGGGGAGGGGAGGGGAGGGGAGGGGAGGGGAGCTCACATTCTGCTGATGATGATTCCTGTCCAAATTAGGACGATTTCATATAACTTTAGATCCTTAGTTTAATTCCCTGTAAACAATATTGGGACATGGCTTGTAGTCCTCATTCCCTGCTTCTCCAGCCCAGGACACAGCTCTCCCAAAATCTAGGGACTTCAAAAGGATGAGGCTTGCTTTATGGACAGCAAAAAGGCTAAGAAGTCCTGCCAGCTTCATCCAGGCTATACTCAAGTGAGCCTGCTTGCACTGCAGTGTCAGTGCTGTCTGGTGTGAGACACATCTCTGCCTCATGTTCAAGCCAATGACAAATGTGCCAGTGCAGTCCATCGGCCTGGTGCTGTGCCAGGCAGATGCTGAGACCTTGGATTCAACATGTTCTGATCTAAAGGACCATGGAAGTGCTCAATGGGTATTTGTCCTCACTTTTTACTGAGTCATGAAGGGGAGAGGAAAATGGAATAGAAACCATGGTCGAATGCAAAAGTTGTTTTCTGCATTCCAACTCCTGTTATTCTGCAGAGGAAATTATGTCCAAGACCCTCACATCAACAATCCCAGTGCAGCTCTGACCATACTGGAAGGAGCACCTTTCCTCAGGTGATCATGGGACTGCTATTGCTTCAAGGTCTCCCAGCGTTCTGGGAATCTGAGGGCAAAGATACATCAAGACAAGGCTTGATGGTATCTGGAAGCAGAGCTACCAGGGGATGTCTTCCTCAGCTCCAAAATATTGTACCCTTAATAGTTGTGCCTCCATGGTGCCCCAAAATTCCATTCCTCTGTGAATGGAGAAGGGTCTCCTTATGCCCTCACCCATTTCTAAGCAACACTTTTCTCCTTTGGCATTCAGAAGTGCAACCAGGGGAAGGACCACACAGATGCCAGACTTGAATGCAGCAGAACTTTAATGAAATGAAAGAAGGAAACAAAGCCACTGAAAGCGGAGGTCAGCAGCACAGGCAGCACCAAGGGCAGCAGAGACTCTGCACTCCTTGGCTCCCGAATAGATCCTGCATAATATTGGTCTACCTGTCCCACAAAGGGGAGAAACCAAAGGGTCCCTATCAAGCTGGTCTTTGGGGAACGTAGAAGCACCAAGGAATCAATGCAAACAATGAAAAGGGAGAGAAAGGCAAATTTGGTTCGCTATCGTGCAAACAGCACTCAAAACCTAGATCCTCTGCCCAACACTGCGTTCTGAGCTCCTCAAGATGTCTTGTTGAGGCTTTCTCAGCACCTTTAGCAGGGACGACATCTGTTGCCACCGTAGCGTCTAGTGATGCAGGAGAGGTCAAAGCCCCCAGAGTTGATGGGCACTCCCTCAGAGCTGAGGATGTTGCCAACAGCAGCAGACGTGGAGGATCCCACCACGGTGTTCTGTGGGTAGGAGCTGAGGATGGGCCCAGGCAGGGTCACCACCACAGCAGGCGGCTCAATGACAACAGTGGAGTTCTGGCACTGCCTGACACAGCACTCATTGCAGCTGTTGGCCAGCGGGGTGGGGCCACAGGGCTGGCAGGGACGGCACTGGGTGTTGCAAGACATGACTTGAGGCTACAGGTGCACCTGGAAGAGAGAGCAGAGAGGAAACAGAGTACAAAGCTGGGTGGGTGGGTGGGTGAGGAGCAGCCTGGTCACCCCATCACAAAAGAGCCAAGGCCATCATGAGTGGGAAGCTGGAGACTGAGCCAGGAGCCCTACAAAGAGCAGCCTGACTCAAGAAGTTCTCTCCCAGGGCAGAAAGCAAAAGGCAGCACCACCACCAGCCCTTCTCTATGCCAGCCTTCTCTCTGCTTTCCTCTCTCATGACCAGATGCTCCAACCCCCAAATATGAGAAAGCCAAAGTCAGTTGAGATGTCCACCAAGCAGAGATCTCACTTTGGAAGAGAAAGTGAAGGGCCTTCAGACTCACCTGGTTCCCAAGCAGAAGGAAGCAAGAGAAGTGAATGAGAGAGCAGAGACTTGGGCTGCCTTTTATACCTGCCCATCACTGCCGCAGGACCAGGGGTGGCCTTTGCAGAGGTAACAATTTCCCAGCAAGTTCATCTTGAATGCAAACCAGCACACCTAATGATATGGGCTGTGTTTTCATTTCCAGCACTGCTGCCTTTTCATTTCCAGGTTTGTTCCATGCCTGTTCCCCAATGAAGGCTTCTTCTGATCCCTGGGATTAAAGGCCCCAGGATTTCTAAGGCAAGAATGCAGTAGTACAGGCAGAAGACTCAGTTTATGTACTGCATGGGCCCAGACCAGGAAAGTGATGCTATCCTGATCACTCTTCTGAGGCTGTTTGAAGTCTTGTTTTCAGGAACAAGCTGCAGCACCCATAGAATCATGTAATCATAGAATGGCTTGGTCTGGATGGAACTCCTTCATAAAGAGAAGCAGTGACCCTCACTAGATCAGGTTGTTCCAAGCCCCATCCAAGCTGGCCTTGAATACTTATAGGGATGTGGCAACCTCAGCTTCTATGTGAAGTTCCATTGCCTCACCACCCTTTGAGTAAGTAATTTTTTCCTAACATCAAATCTACATCTTTCCTCTTTTAGTTTAAAACATTCCACTTTGTCCTATCAGTATCTGCCTGTGTGAAAAGTCAGCATCCATCTTTTTGCAAGCCCCCTTCACATACTGACTGGCCTCAATGAGGTGTCCTCAAAGCCTTCTCTTCTCCATGTGGAACAACCCCAACTCTCTCAGCCTGTCTTCATAGCAGAGTTTCTCCAGCCCTCTGGGCATCTTTGTGGCTTCCTTTGGGCCTGCTCTAACAGGTCCATGTCTTTCTCATGCTGAAAACTCCATTTCTGAACCCATCTGGGGTCTCACAAAATCAGAGTAGATGAGGAGAATCTCTGCCCTCAACCTGCCTTTTGTGATGCAGTCTGGGATGGCTTTCTGTACTGCAAGTGGCAAACTCTTGGCTGATGTCCACCACCAAAACTCCCAGACCAAAACAGGTCTGCTCTCAATGAGTTAATCTCCCAGCCTGTTCTCATGTCTGGGATTTCCTAATGCAGGTGCTGCACCCTGCACTTGAACTTCCTAAACTTCATCAGGTTCTCATAAGCCTACTTCTCAAGTTTCTCCAGGTCTCCTTGGATGGAAATCTCCTTCTGTAGTGTCAGCCGCACTGCTCAGCTTTGTGTTATCTGCAAACATGCCAAGGGGACACATGATCTAATATCTCTGTGATTGAAAAAGATACTACAAAACACCAGTCCCAAGACAGAACCTTGAGATACGCCCCTCTTCCCCTACCTCCATGTAGTCATAGAGCCACAGACTAAAGCTGTGTCCATCCAGACATTTTCATATTCACAATAGTATACTCTTCAAATCCATGTGTATTGGGTTTGCATGGCCTGGTTTTGGTAGCAGGAGGGCTACAAAGGCACTTCTGTGGCTTCTGTGAGAAGTTGCTGGAAGCTTCCTCAGTGTCCAGCAGAGCCAAAGCCAGCTGGCTCCAAACAGACCCACCACTGGCCAAGGCTGAGCCCATCAGAAATGGAAGTGTTGCCTCAGGAATAACACATTAAAGAAGGAAAAAAATTACTGCACGGGTGTAGTTGGGGCCAGAAAAAAGCAGAGTGAGAGAAGTGAGATATGTGAGAGGAACAGCTCTGCAAACACCAGTGGAGAAGGAGCAGCAGGAGCTGCTCCAGGCTCCAGAGCTGAGATTCCTCTGCAGCCCGTGGTGAAGACCATGGTGAGGCAGCTGGGCCACTGCAGCCCACAGAGGGCATGGAAGTGCGGAGATGCACCTGCAGCCCCTGGAGGAGCCAGCACCAGAGCAGGTGAATGCCTGAGAGGAGGCCATGACCCTGAGGGAAACCTGTGCTGGAGCAGAGTCCTGGCAGGGGTCTGTGAAGAGAGGAGCCCATGCTGGAGCAGGTTTGCTGGAATGACTTGTGACCCTGTGAGGGTTCCTGAAGTACTGGCCCCATGGAAGAGTGACCCACATTGTAGCAGTTCTTGGGGAACCATAGCCTGTGGGATATGGTTCCTAGCCTCCTTATCATTTTGGAGAAGTTCATGGACAACTTCTCCCATGGGAGGGACCCCAGCCTGGAGCAGGGGAAGGACTCCCACTCCTCTCCTTGAGCAGCAGCAGAAAAAACCTGTGATGAATTGACCATGAGCCCCATTCCTGTCTCCCTACTCTGCTAGCGGGGAGGACGATATAAAGCTGGGAAGGAGGGAGAGGTAGGGGACAAATACTCGGTTTTTTGGGTTATTTTTATAATACTTATTTTACTTCTCATTATCCTCTTCTGATGTTGTTGGTAAGAAATTCAATTAATATGCCTTAGCTGAGTCTGTTTTACCTGTGACAGTATTTGGTGAGAGGTCTCTTCCAGTCCTTAACTCATGAACCATTGTTATATTTTGTCTCCCCTGTCCACTTCTAGAGGAGAGTGATAGAGTGCCTTTGGTGGGTGCCTGGCAACCAGCCAGGGTCAATCCACTACACCATCTCTCCAGTTTGGAGATAAGGATTTTGTGTGGACTGCGTTGAAAGCCTGACTGAAGTTTAGGTAGATGACATTGGCCAGTCTTCCCTTGCTGACTGTTTCAGTCACTCCATCCTTGAAGGCCACCAGATTGCTCAGACATTACTTGCCCTAAGAGAAGCATTGCTGGCTGTTTGGATCACCTCTTTGTCTGAATATGACTTACAGTTGCTTTCATGAGGACCTGTTTCATGATCTCCCCAGGCACAGAGGTGAGGTCTACTAGTCTGTGATTCCCTAGGTCCTTTGTATTGCCTCTTTAAAAATCTAGTCTGCTGCTGGATGCCCAAGGATTCCTGTGCATGAGGGTGGGCTATGTCCTTCCCTATCCCTCCCTTCTCAGCTCACCCTGATGGTTATTTGTTGTTATTGTCTCCCCATGGGTGTGCATTGGGCTGCAGGCTCTGACTCCATCCTACCTAACTCTGCCCTCGGGAAAAACTTCTGGCTTGTTTTGACTTGTCCATTCTCTGAGCAGTCTGTGAGTACATAAACAATGCTGTGAGCTTGCCTGGGGCCTTGCCCTTCCCCACAAGGCTCCAGCCCTGCTGCAGTTGTCTCCTGGTGTCCTCAGTAGAGTTCACAGTAGGGTGTGTTCCTACATGTGTTCATGTGCTCTTTTGTGCAACCAGACTTGCATGAATGTACCACAGGTGCATGTTTGACAGGTGTATATGAACATATGTTCTTTTGTGTCTCTCCTTACAATTAGATTGTGTTGCTCATGGCAGGGACACTCCAGAGCTCTGTTCATGAGCTCTGCAAAGCAGCAGGAGCTCAAGTGCAGCTGAAAGGTAATGACATCACCCTCCTAGAAATCTCTTGGAAAAGAGGCACTGTAATCAACCCATTTTCTGAACTGTCCTTGTCCTGATCCTCCAGAGCTCATACTCCACTGATGATGGTGCCAAGTCCCAACAAGGACTACCAATTTAGATCCTTAATTTAGTTGAGTGTAACAGGATTAGGACTGCCTCAGCATGATGGGCAGCCCCCTTCTGCCTGCCTCACTAGGTCAGGGAACAGCTGCTAGAGAGTTCAAAAGGATGGGATTTGCTTTATCCTGGAGAAAGAATAAGGAATCCTACTTACTCTCCTTGTTCAGGCTATGTCCAAATGGATCTGCTTCCTGTGAATTGCTGGTACTCCCAGGTGTGGGACACAGCCTTCCTTCATGCCAAAGCCAATGTCAAATGTATTCATCCAGATCATTGGCCTGGTGCTGTGCCAGGCTGAGATCTTCACCCAAACAGGTACTGAATTAAAGAATCACAGTGCATGTTATTATTGTGCACGGGACTGGAAGGACAGAGACACTGTGTGTTGTACAGGGGAAGCCAATAAACAGGGTTATTGGGCAGATGAGCACCAGTGGGGAATACCCCAGCAGTTGTTCTGTGGTACAGATGTCAGATTCCCCAGGTAGGAATGGTGCGTGTGCCCTGGATCTGCCTGTGGAGCAGAGAGAGAATGGGGGACTCCAAGGACACCAGGCAGAGCAAGGAGTTGGATTGTCCCTATAGTAGCAATTTTTCCGGTGGAAGCAGTGCAGGTCTTGTGCATGAAAGGGTGAGGCTGGGCATCACAAGAACATTGGCCAAAGAGATGGAGGAGTTCAGATACTCTTCTCTAAATCTCCAGCAGGAAGAATGTGCAGGGAACTTTTCCTGTTGGTCCCTTCATGCTTCAGCCCCTGTTTGAGCTTAACTTTGCCTTCATCAGCTTCTTCCCTATATTCAGAGAACTGTAGACACCTGAGATCTCCCAACTTTTAGTCACTCACTTAAGCTGAGGGTGGAAGTCAAAAAAGATATTTTGGAATATCACAGAAAAAAACCCCAACCTACATGTGTTAATAGTGAAGCCAGATGTTCTTCACAAAAACTCAAAGATTACTGCCATGACCACATTGTGGAAAGGAAGAAGAATGTTGTACACTAGTAGGCCCAACTCTCTCTGGAGACACTCTGTGCCATGCTGTCATCAGCCCTGTTACCCACCATCTATAAACAGTGAAAGGATGGCTAAAAAGTGGGGATTTCCAACAGGTATGCACTGGGTGCAGGCATTCATTAGAACTGCAGCCTGCAGAATTTGGCTTACACAGTCCCTATCTGTCGGAATCTGTGGGTATTGGTGATTCCGAGATTGTAGAAAGTCTCTGTCTTTCTGCCCCGTTGCCAAAAAAGAAGCCATAATTCGTCTGTGCTGTTTCCAAGGTTGTTTATTTTTGTTTATCTATAACAAGTTCTGCTGCCCTGCCGCAGCTCTGTCCTGCAGGGCAGTGTGCGGGGCTCTGCCCTCAGTGGGATGGTACAAACATTATATACCAGAAATTACGTGTACTATATTTACAATAATGTGCTAATATCTATCATCTACGTTGAACAGTGTGTCCCCAGCCTAAACCAATAGAAAAATGCCAACATCACCAAGAACATGGAGGTAAGGAAGAAGAAGGAGGAAGAACAGGATCGGGCCCACTTTCCTCCATCTTAGAATTCCTGACTCCCATGTACAAAGTAAAACCCCCCTGTACAGGTACTAAAACCCCCTTGTACAATACTAAAAAATTTTTCCCTCTAATTTGTGACTACTTTTACTATACCATCTAACTCTCTGTGACCGCTTGTTCCACCTTCAAAGTTGGTAATTCATTCCATGGTTCAAACTCAAGATCACAGCTGTTTTCAGCTGCTTGCCAGGGTCTAAAATGCTTTTGACCAAGGCCTGGAACCTCTGAAAATGTCTGAGGGACATTTTGAGTTCCGACACCTATCAACCTGATTGTCAAGAGAGATGTGTTTACTGCCCTGATACCTCTGTCATCCTGACCAACTGTTGGTCAAACAGGCAAGAGGAGACAATGTCATCAAAGGACTTCACAACCTCACTTTGTGGAAGAAAAAGACATCTTTCTGCATTCCAAACTCCCAGATGGGAAAGGGCAGCTTACACAGTCTCCATCATGGATGGATGGATGGATGGATGGATGGATGGATGGATGGATGGATGGATGGATGGATGGATGGATTTCTGTTTATCCAGCCCTTCCTGACTGAGGCCTCTGATGTGTTTTTGTTCAAAACAGTGCCGAACAGCACCAGACTAAGCAAGAGGGACGTTTGTGAACAAAACTTGTTCACCACAGACAGCTCACAGATACTGCTGTCCAGAATGACTTTGCACAGAGCTTTTCTGGAGCAGCACTGGTCCTTACACAGCAGGGTCTTTGGGGCCCCGAGCCTGAGCAGAGCTGCTCCATCTGTGCTTGGCAGTCACAAGGTACAGCTGAGCAGTGAAGGGTCTGTGAGCATTCATTACTGTCTTTGGACTGCCCTGGCCCATGAGGGTTCACAGGGACTCCAGTGTGGGACCCAGAGTGGTTAATCCCAGCACTGACTTGTGAATGGTGCCAGGCCTGCACACCTGCCAAAACATGGGCCCTGCCATGGGCCTTGCATTTGGCAGTAGGGCTGCGATGAAGAACTGATCCCAGCTGCCCATGCCCACTTGTGCTGGCCATTGTCTGAGGCTGGGCCTCAGAGTCTCAGTGAAGATGGAGATGAGGCCTTGAGCCAACTCTGAGGCTATTCCACACAACCACACTTCTGATATCCTATGGGAACATTTTCTGTCTACCCCAGCACAGCACTGACCAGATGAATAGGTGCTGCATTCCCATGATCCCACAGGTTAGTTTGTCTCCAGGACCTCCCATGGAATTCTGGTTGTTACATGGGGACAGCAGAGGTTTTTGCAGGATGTGTTGGGGGTATATCTGGGCAGAGACACTAAAGGGAAGGGACTGATCACCATGGGGTAGCTGGGGATGTTTTGCATCCTGGCCCAGGATTGTACTTCCCATAGGACCCTCTGCAGTGTATCCCAAGCTCATATTTTTTCTGGATGAATGATCTCACTACATTGTCACCTTATCCCCTGCCAGGATCAACACCATTCCACCCCAGCAGATTGCAAGATCATATGTGGAGGGAAGGACTACCTGGAGACCCAGCTTGAGATGCAAAAATCTTTATTGAGTTTAAAGAGGGAATCAAGGTTGTTACAAGCACAGGCCCTCAGTGCAGGGATCTGGCGGGACAAGCAAGATATTTCACCTCTTGGCCAGGGTGAAGTCCATGCAGGGCATCCATTTGCCTTGCCTGTAGAGTCCAGGCTAGCTTGGAGGAGCCTTGTGGCCGAGGGGAGCAGAAGGACACAATGAAAATAGAAACAAGGAGACATGTAGGAAAGACATAGGGCATGCTTTCGAAGTGCCTGAGCTGGGCCCTTCCTTCCAGCATTTTCAGGAGGAACTAAAGATGGTCAGTTCCTGGGAAAGAAATGACCTGAAGATTCTTCCTTTGTTCAGCACCATGCCTGGAGATCCTGGGGACACTTCCCAAGACCTACATACGCCCAACACCACTAGCAGGGGAGGCCCCTCCTTCCACCATAGCGCCTGGTGATGCAGGAGAGGTCAAAGCCCCCAGAGTTGATGGGCACTCCCTCAGAGCTGAGGATGTTGCCAACAGCAGCAGACGTGGAGGATCCCACCACGGTGTTCTGTGGGAAGGAGCTGAGGATGGGCCCGGGCAGGGTCACAACCACAGCAGGCGGCTCAATGACAACAGTGGAGCTCTGGCACTGCCTGACACAGCACTCATTGCAGCTGTTGGCCAGCGGGGTGGGGCCACAGGGTTGGCAGGGACGGCACTGGGTGTTGCAGGACATGACTTGAGGCTACAGGTGCACCTGGAAGAGAGAGCAGAGAGGAAACAGAGCACAAAGCTGGGTGGGTGGGTGGGTGAGGAGCAGCCTGGTCACCCCATCACAAAAGAGCCAAGGCCATCATGAGTGGGAAGCTGGAGACTGAGTCAGGAGCCCTACAAAGAGCAGCCTGACTCAAGAAGTTCTCTCCCAGGGCAGAAAGCAAAAGGCAGCACCACCACCAGCCCTTCTCTATGCCAGCCTCCTCCCTGCTTTCCTCTCTCATGACCAGATGCTCCAACCCCCAAATATGAGAAAGCCAAAGTCAGTTGAGATGTCCACCAAGCAGAGATCTCACTTTGGAAGAGAAAGAGAAGGGCCTTCAGACTCACCTGGTTCCCAAGCAGAAGGAAGCAAGAGAAGTGAATGAGAGAGCAGAGACTTGGGCTGCCTTTTATACCTGCCCATCACTGCCGCAGGACCAGGGGTGGCCTTTGCAGAGGTAACAATTTCCCAGCAAGTTCATCTTGAATGCAAACCAGCACATCTAATGATATGGGCTGTGTTTTCATTTCCAGCACTGCTGCCTTTTCCAGGTTTGTTCCATGCCTGTTCCCCAATGAAGGCTTCTTCTGATCCCTGGGATTAAAGGCCCCAGGATTTCTAAGGCAAAAATGCAGTAGTACAGGCAGAAGACTCAGTTTATGTACTGCATGGGCCCAGGCCAGGAAAGTGATACTACAGTCTGGATAACTCTGGTGGGGCTGTTTGAGTTCCAGCAATCCTCAGCTGGCTGCCCAAGGCCTCCTGTGCATGAGGATATATCCCATCCTTGTCTTTATCTCCCTGTGGTCACTTCTTCCCTCCCCATGTCCATGGACTCTGCAAGTTGTTTTCACCCCAATGTGCCTAACTCTGCTACCAGGAGAAAATTCTATCTTGTTTTAACTCATGGCCTCTTTGTGCAGCAGAGAAATTGTCATGGGTTTGTCTGGCTCCTCACAATGCTCCAACCCTGTTGCAGTTGTCCCCAGGTGTTCTCAGCAGAGTCCACAGTGTTGTGCTCCTATAACCTTGACTTCTGTGGGATAGAGAAGTGGGCCCATGTAATCCACATGAAGCTCAATAAGGCCAAGTGTAAGGTCCTGAATTTGGGTTGGATCATTCCCAAGGAGGAACAAAGATTGCTTATTGAGTAAACTGAGAGTAGCCCAGCCAAGAAGGACTTGGGTACACTGGTGAATGAGAGTCTGGACGTGACCTGCAATGTTCACATGCAGCCCTGGAATTGCATCCCAGAATTGTATTGCATCAACAGAGGAGTGACTACCAGGTATAGAGAAGTGGTTCTCCCTCAATACCCTGCTCTTGTGAGACCCCAGCTGGAGTGCTGTGTCCCCAGTGCTAAGGTGCTGAAGTAGGTCCAGAAGAGGCCACAAAAATGCTCAGAGGGCTGCAGCCCTTCTGCTATGGAGACAGGACTGGGAGAGATGACTGTATTTATCCTGAAGATGGTTCTGGGGATACCTTAAGTCACATTCCAATGCCCAAAGGGGATCCAAGAGAGATGAAGAGGGGCTTTTTTACAAGGACATGGAGTGATAGGACAAAGGGGAATAGCTTCCCACTGAAACAGGATAGATTCATACTAGTTACCAAGAAAAAATTCTTCCCTTTGAGGGTGGTGAGGCCCTGGCACAGGTTGTCCAGAGAAGCTCTGGCTGCCCCATCCCTGGAAGTGCATGCTGTGCTGCTGCGAAACGTATACTCACGTGACTTTCACAATTGCTTATAGATCCAGGGATTTTGATGATAAAAACTGTCCAAGAAACCTGACTTGGGGCAGATCTATTGGAGGCTACACCATAAACAAGGCAAATGAGCCTTGTCAATATTCTTTGCTTAAAATAACACTGCAATCCTCAGAGCAAGCAGCCTACTGGCTCTTCATCCTGTTTCATCTCCATGGGCCTCCACTGATGGCCACAGCCTGAGAATGAGGCCTTTGGTAGGAAGCACAATTGGTCTTAGAATTTGACACTATGACCCAGAAGCCCAAGATGGGAAGGGCTCTTCCTTACCCTGCATCAGCAGGTGGAAAACAGCCACCAGCCAGACTCTGGACAAGATTATTCCTGCACTCATCCACTGCCAGAAAGTGGTCCCACTCTTTTTCATGTCTCTCCTTTTCAGGGAAATCACCAGTGCTGGAGGGAGCTCCCATGTTCTGGGGTCTGTGACAGTTTCTCTGTCCAACAGCTGGTAACATCTCAGTGACCTCCTTTCCTCCCATGAGCTAAAGGAAGGGTTCTGGGGACCTATTTTCAGGCAAGCACACTACAGCACTTCTTAAGGAAACTCAGCTCAAGGATGCTGAGTTTCCAGATGGATCCCACCCTTTGAATTGGAATCTGTTGCCCATGAAGTATCATCCCCTTTGCACGAGAAATCTCAGGGTATTCATTTGTTTTTCTGCTGCTGTTCTGTCATAGTCTGCCTCACCCAAGTGACAAGGATCTGCTCTGACAGCCCTTGTGTGAGGCTTTGCATGCCACTATTTATCTCAGAAGGCTCTAAGCAGTGTTGATGAGGAATTCACAGCAGATCTCAGACACTCTGCTGTGTCTTAGATTTCTTGGACATTTCAGATAATGCTTTTTGTTGCTTTCCAGAACTGTAGAAGGATTCAACACTCCAAATATACAATTCTCTCCAAAATGTGTTATTCCTAGGCAGAAATGACAAGCAGTGATGTCTGTCTGAGGATAAATCCAGTCTCAGAGTCTCTGCTGTCCCAGGCATTTTCCCAAATGCCACTGAAAAAGAGCACAGCTGACAAAGGGTGGGAATCAGCCTGTGCCTTGGGCTATGGTGCCTGGGCCTGGATACAAGACTAAATGCCAAGTGCCCAGGTGGATGCACGTTTGTGAATCTCCTCCAGAAGTGTCATTGCTTCTGGAAGGAAGGAGTAGATGTTCAGTTTAGACTCAATCATCTCAACTGGACAGCTCTATGTTCAGATTAAATTAATCCCACACTCTCCATAAAGGTGTGTTTACCATGATGAGAAGCTGATGCCTCATTATTAAGTGATTACATGGACTATCTTCATTGTCAGTGTGCAAAAAGAAAAGCTTGGAGAACATGGTTAATCTGTTCTGAAATGAAAATTAGGAGGGTAAAAGCAAGTGCTGTTTGGAAGTACTAATATTCTCCCAATGAGTGTAAAGAGAGACTTGCTTCCCAGCCAGCCTTCCACAGCTCTGCACTTTGAATGCTTTGCCAATCACATTAATGTTTTTCCACAACAAAGCCCAAAATGGGTGGAACAATGTACTGCTAAAAATTATGTGGGGTTTTAGATGTGGAAATGCCCTGACACATCTGGTATGAAGCACACCATTTTGCATAATTTAATTAAAAATAAGAGAGTAGATTCAGATACTAAGGAGAGGAAAGAAGAAGAATTATGCAAATTTTGTTTGCAGTCTTATGTGAGGAATAATGGCTATAAGTAGAGGTATCAGACATTGCCAAATTTTATCTTGAATCAGAGTATGATTTGATGAAATAGCTACAAGAATGTGGCATAGATACATCACAAAACATCAGGCTAAACGGAGAACACATGTCTACTTTCTAAAGCAATGTTTCCTAAAGTTACTGGGATTTCTTTAGGAGATTCAGACAAACCGTGACAAAATTAAGCACTTGGCAAATGGGGCAGAAGCCTGTGGGAATACCACTCCTCCAACTCTGTTACAGAACTGTTTATGGACTGGGTTTGTGACCCTTTCCAAGCACGGCATTTTAAAGGACTGTGAGGCATTCTGAATTAACTGTGAATGAACAGAGGGTGGTGGGAGAGCAGAACTGAGGCTCAGCCCAACCAGAGATGGCTGTAAGGTGATAGGAGCTCACTGGGGAATTGGTGGCTTCTCACTGCCTGGGAAACCCACATAGACCTACACTTCAGAGGGGATCTTCTGCAGGGAAGAAGTCATGGGAGGACAGGGATTAATCTGTTTGTACAACTGATGAAAAGTGAAAAATCACTTCACTTTTCCTGGAAAGCCCGTCCCAGAGCGAGCTTCACGTCTTTGTTTCTGAGTGTGTAAATGAAGGGGTTCAACAAAGGAGTTACCACTGTGTTAAAGGTATTCACAATTTTGTTCAGATCCAGAGACTTCTGGGCTGATGGCTTGACATACAGGAACACGGTGGAGCCATACCAGATCGTGACAACACTGAGATGGGCAGAGCAGGTGGAAAAGGCCTTTTTCCGGCCATGGGCTGACTGGATCCGCAGGATGGAAGAGATGATGTACATGTAGGAGACCAGCGTGACCACACAGGAGGCCACCACAACAATTATGGAGACAAGGAAGGTTGCCAGCTCCACAGGCCATGTATCACTGCAGGAGAGGGCAAGGCAGGAATCTATATCACATAGAAAATGATTTATGACCTCTGGCCCACAGAAAGTCAGCCTGGATGTCAGAAAGGCCAGCAGGGAAATGGCCAAAAAGCCTCCCAGCCAGGAGCTGAGTGCCAGGCGAACACAGAGGGCATTGCTCATGAGGGAGCTGTACCTCAGGGGGTAGCATATGGCTAAGTAGCGGTCATAGGCCATGACAGACAGGAGAAAACACTCAGTGGAGCCTAGAGAGAAAAGAAAGAACAACTGGAGGATGCAGACACTGAAGGAGATGGTCTGGCTAGTCCCCAGCATGACTCCTATGGCTTTGGGGATAACACCTGTGGTGTACCAGATCTCCAGAAAGGAGAGGTTACAGAGGAAAAAGTACATTGGGGTGTGTAGGTTGCTGCTTCTCCACACAAGAGCTATGATGGATGCATTACTTATTACTGTCAGGGTGTACATCAGTGCAAACACCACCACAAAGGAGACTCGGAACTGTCGTATGCCTGGGAAGCCAAGAAGGATGAATTCTTTTACACTTGTCCCATTTGCCATGTACTTCCAAGTGTTGAGGTCCGTCTGCAAAGAAAGAAAAGTTTCTGTGAAAGTTTGCATGCTTTTGCTGGTCCTTCAGATGCTACAAGTGGTGAAAAAAAAAGTCATAATCTCTGAAAAAGCAGTTGGTGCACAGCATGGGAAAATGGCATTTTAATATGTTTAAATTTTCATAGAAATCTTTCCCTGATTAAACACATTTGAACAACTAGGTCTAACCCTGAAAATCAGGTGTATCCCAACAAATGAACACTTGGACAAGTATTTATCAGATCATGCACCTCCTTTACAGCATGGGGAATGTAGTCACTTCTGTGAGACGAAAATCCCACTTAGGAAACTATGGGCATCAGACTGAGGGACTCCAGCTATGGGAAAAGCTGTTACAAGGCAATAATATAACCTGTAGTCTCCAAGGCAGGCAATACTGAGGTGTGATATATCAAATGCAACTGAGGAATACAAATACTGTAATGATAACGTGACACTACAAGAGATTTTTTCCACCTCTTCTATGTCAGTTTATTACAAGGGATTGAGACTGAGCTGCAGCCACACAGGGCAGCAGGTTAATATGCCAGTCACTGCTCAAGGTCTCCTATATTTGCTTTCTTCCAAGCCTCAGAACAGGAAGCTTTTGCAAATACCTCCATTTCCCTCACTGATGTCTACTTCTCAGCATAGCTACTAGGGCTATGATTCACCTCTGCAATTTTGCGATTTCAGAGTCAGGGGAAGGATTTCTGCTGACCAATCTGAAATATCCATGGTGAAATACTCCTATCTCAGCTCCTCAGCTTACCTCCTTCTTTCTTCATAGGCAGAGAAAAAGCATGAGGGATATATGGCTCATTTTGTTTTAAAAGCATGGCTGAAAGCCCTCTAGAAGTGCCAGGTTGTCTCTGAGGTCTAAGGCAGGAGTCTAGTAAGCACCTGGATGTTAGACATCTCAACTTGGACAGAGATACTCAGCCTCAGTGACTGAAGGCAAAATCCTCTGAGCTGAATCCCATTAAAGGTAGCTCTGCTGAACTGTTCCTGCAGACAAGGGAGGATTCTTGATCAGTTCTCTAGAGAGTACATATTTTCAGGTGAATGTGGAAGACAGATGGACTAAATCACCATCTGAATCATCTCTTTCTCTCCTATCTTTCTCCACAGCGACATATATCAGAAATCTCATGTACTTAAGGAGCAAAGAAATCTCCCTTAAACCAGCTCTCCTTAGGGTTAAGCTCTCCTTAAGCTCTCCTTAAACATGCAAGGCATTGGAAATCTGTGCTATATGTCTTAGGCAGTCTTCACTCACCAGATTTTCCAGTGGAAATGATCCAAATGACATTTTTTCATGCACCATCCTCCCAAGATAGCCATGGTCCCCTTGGCTAATGGAGAGCATTGGAAAGAAGTAGATTTATTGGGGGGAACTCTGGAATCAGGTGAAGGTGTGTGGATGAGCAGCTCTCCCCTGCTGACTCACTTCAAGCTGATGGCAACTGCTTGACCTGGTTTCCTCTCCATCCAGTAGGATCTGACAGCTTCCACTCCCGATCTTCTCCCTCTCACTGACACCACTGTAATTCCACTAAAAGGAGCTTTGTGTGCGCACACACAAAGCGTAAACTCTCTTCAGTTGAGCTTCATACAGTGAGATCATACACCAGAGAGTCGCCAGCATTATTAGCATAAGAACATCCCCACACCCACCTCATTAACACAATGAAGCTCCAGCTGGCCACACCTAGGAGACTTTTTTTTGTTTTCCCTCTTGTGTGCTCCAGGGAATTTGACTTCTGGGAGGCCTTATGGGCTTGTCAGAGGTGAATAGTACTCTCTCTTCACACAGGCCAATTAAAGAACAGCAATACAATTCCCTAAGTGGCTGCTAGGCTGGGTGTTTGCCTCCTACCTGCAGCTGTGGTATGAGAACCTTGTCAGGAACTCAGCTGACATGGAGATGTCTGAAATAGTCATGTTCCAAGACACTGGTGTCAAGCATTTGGTGCTGAGAGGGTCGTGAAACCTCCAGGGTGAGAAGCGACTAAAGGCAGCTATGGGCACCTGAATACAAAGACTGTAAGGTAAGGGATTCACCTAACTCATTTCAGAGCCTCTAAATGATTTAAAGCCTCTGTCTTCAGCTTTAACTGAAGTGCAGAACTAAGTAAAGATCTAAGTTCAAAATCAGACAAGACATTAGTAAATGGAAAATTGATTTCCCCTGACTCCAGAAAAGGCGTCTTCTATTGAGGTACTCATCTTTGCTCTATTCATCATCAGCTGAGAGAAATAGGCACTCTCAAGCCTTAGTTCTACCCTTAGAAAAAATGGTCTCTTACAGATCAGGCAATACAGGCCTTACAGACCTTTTTCTTCTGTTGACACTCAAGATAAACTAGTCAGCTGGCTTAGACCAGACACACAAAAAATACACACACTTCTTGTCCTCTAGACATTTTGAGTTAGATTCACCTCAAGAGAGAGTCTGTCTGTACTGTCCAGGACCACCACACAGGTGCTGGGCTTGGCAGAGACATTTTCTGTAAGTCCTGTGTTCCAGGCTTTTGTGTGGTTGAGAGAAAACTGACTGGTACTCGGTTTGAGGTGGAGATACAGCTAATGGGAGTAAAGTTCTCAGTTTGAGCCTATTTGCTGACCATGATGCCTGCTGTCTGTCCTATCCATGGAAATGGATGTGGGGTTTAGCCATGGGGTGGAGGTGTTGGAGCCTGTGGGTGCACTTGTGATTGCTTAAAGAAGCAAGCCATGCACACATGACCAGGTATGCAGGCCCTGCTGTGACCTTGTCCTAGTTGGGGAGTTCAGAGGCCACCACTGGTCAGCTGCAGTATTTGTGTCTCCAGAAAGATGTTTCTTGCCATTTCCTGGCACATCTGCTTTGGGATGGGCTAAGTCCCCTGGGTGACCTGCTGTCCCATCAGTGACTGTGGGAAGAGTCTACAGAGACTGTTAGGTCTGGTCCCGAAGATGGGTTGTACTCTCCGTCTGCAGGACATGCTCTGAGACCAAGGAGTCATATCTGAGCAGAAATGTTGGAAGGCTGAGCCTGATCTCTGCTGTCTGTGGAAAAGTCAGGGATGTCTTCCTCAGCTCTAAGGGACAGTACTTGAATGGGCCCCATTTCTGTATTTCCCACCCTCCCCTTCCTCTGGGAATAATCAATGGTCTACTTGTGCCCCCACTTTTTCCTCCACCAGCCATGGCAACATCTTTTGGTCTCAGCACCTTGAGACAAGGATACCAAAAAAGATTACATAGAGGCTGAGGATAGGATGCAGAAAGCTTTATTGTCATTGAAGTGGAAAATTAGTTCCCTTATAGAAGAGGAAACTGGTGGTGGTGGTGAGAGACCACATGCAACTGCAGAAAGTCTGTGCCCACTTTGGCACAGGCACTGGAGAGCCACTGGAGAGCCAATGGGACATCCATCTGCCTGCCCTACGGTGGGCAGGGGTTAGCAGATCCCCCAGAGAGGCTCTGAAAATCTTACAGTCCAGAAGTATGGAAGACAAGAGAGAGGTGGAAGAGAGAGTAAGGCAGGGAAAGCAAACACTGGCCATGGTTTCAGAGAGCGCCACCCGCCCTTCTTCAGAAGGGCAGCATTGGTTGCTCAGCACCTCTGAATTCGATGGCCAGGAGGTCTGTCCTCAGTCCAGCATCAGCTTCTGGGTTCCTGGGGGTCCTTGTGAAGGCTGCACCAGTGGCTTTAGCATGGACGACATCTGCTGCCACCATAGCGGTTGGTGATGGAGGAGAGGTCAAAGCCGCCGGAGTTGATGGGCACTCCCTCAGAGCTGAGGATGTTGCCAACAGCAGCAGAGGTGGAGGATCCCACCACAGTGTTCTGTGGGAAGGAGCTGAGGATGGGGCCAGGCAGGGTCACCACCACCGGAGAGGGCTGGATGAACACGGTGGAGTCCTGGCACTGCCTGACACAGCACTCATTGCAGCTGTTGGCCAGCGGGGTGGGGCCACAGGGCTGGCAGGGCCGGCACTGGGTGTTGCAGGACATGTCTTGAGGCTGGAGATGTACCTGAGAGAGAGGGAAGGAAAGAAAGCAGAGCACAGGCACATTTGGGTACCCATCAGCCATGAATCCATCGTCCCACTGCAAGAATTGCAATGGTACCTGCTTAAGCTAGAAGAGAGAAACTGGGCAGTGAAAGAAAGGGGTTTTCATCCTCATCCTGACACAGTACTGCAAAGTGTCACCTTATTTCTTCAATAAAGAGCTCCCTCAGCCAAATTCTGACACTAAGTCAGACCTTAGTTCTTCTCTGATCCCTCAGCAGCAGCATCACTAAGGGTGCTCTCACAGGCTATAGGAACGCACATCCGCTTCACCAGAAAAGGATAGGGGAAAGGGCTTTAGACTCACCTGGGTCCCAAGGAGAAGGAGGCAGGAGAAGTGGATGAGAGAGCATGAAGTCGGGTTGGCTTTTATAGTCACTCTGGGTTGCCCCAGGCCCAGAGGTGGCTTCTATGAAAGTGATAATTTCCTAAGGTGCTCATGATGTATGGAAAACATCCCAGATAATGACATGGTCTGGGTGCTTGTTTTCCATGTTGCCACCTTTTCATTTCCTGGCTTATGTCATAGACATTTCTTCATGAAGGCTTTTTTCTGAGTGCTGAGATTGAGACGCCTCAGGATTTCCAGGGCAGGAATGTGTCAGTGTCTGCGGAATCCTTTGCTCAAGTGCTGGATGGGTACAGTGCAGGGAAATGAGGTTGGCCTGGAGCTCACTGGTGATGTTGCCTGTGGCCTTGTTGATTGGAAGAGGCGCAGCCACTCCCAGCTCTTCAACCCTTGACTGGTCACCCAAAGATGTGCCATGATACCATTGGAAAATTATATGCCTCCCAACTTGCTCCAGGGTTCATTTGAGTTCAGAATCTCAGGCATTTGGGCTGCACTGTTGGGTTTCATTTTCTTGCTCCTAAAGCTCTCCTTATGCCCTTCCAATAGCTCCAAAGAGGGAAAGAGGGAGAATCCTCAATTCATCTGGGCAATGTGAGCCAGTGCTTGGTCACCCTCAATGATAAGAAGGGCTTTCCTGTTTCACACAGAGCTTACAGTGTTCCAGCCTGTGCTTGTTTCCTGTGGTCCCATCACTGGGCGCCTCAGAGAAGTGCCTGGCTCTGTTTGCCTTGCACCCTCTGTATTTGGGTTGCATGGCAAGGTTTTGGTTGTGGGGGAGCCAACACCAGCTGGATTTAAGACTGATCTGCCACTGGCCAAGGTTGAGCTCATAAGCAGTGGTAGAAACACCTCTTGGATAACATGTTTAGGAAGGGAGAAAACACCTAGTGCGGAACAGCAGCTAGAAGAGAGGTGAGAGAAGATGTGAGAGAAACAACCCTGCAGACACCAGTCTCAGTGAAGAGGGGAGGCAGGTGCTCCAGGTGACCCCATAAAAGCTCACGCTGAATGAGGCTTGTCCTAGTTTAGGGCAAATTTGGGGAAAACCCTCTGGAAGGAGCCCTCATAAAACAAACCCCCACGGCCCCTCCCCACCTACCTGGTTCGGGAAAAAATTTTCTCTGAGAGAAGTGAGAAAGAACCTGTTTATTTAACGAACAAAGCACTCCCCAGCACCAAAAATTAACAACACCAGATGACAACAAAACTCTTTCACCACTCTGAAGAGATGAACAAATCTAGAAAGTCTTTCCTGGGAGTGGTCGCCCAGGTCTGGATGCTGGGGGTTGCTCTGGGCACTGGGGATGGCTGCTGCAGATCACAAAATGCCGGCTCACGGTGTTCTTTGTTGTTTCCCAGATCCCAGTCCGGAGCAGATTGGATGGTATTCAGGAAGAGGAAAGGAAAAGAAACAGTCCAGGGAAAGAATTGGACTGCTTAACTAAACTAACTAGGGAGCAAAGGCAAAAGCAGAAGCAAGCAAAGCAAGCAAGCAAAGCAAGCAAGCAAAGCAAGCAAGCAAAGCAAAAGCCAGCCAGGCAGCACCAGCCTTTTCTAGACAGCAGACCATGGCGGGAGGTGAACCAGCTGATAACAAGGCAAAACAAACCTTCACTTTCAGAGTCAGTTCTGAAAGCACAGAACATAATATCAAACATAACCAGAACACATGATTGGAGATACAAACACCATAAGGTCACCCTAGGACAGGCTCCTGTCAGGACCTGTGGCTCTGTGAGTGACAGGCCCATGCTAGCACAGGTTTGCAGGCAGGACTTGTGAAGAATTGTAGCCCATGTGAAAAACTCACATTGGAGAAGTTTAGGGGGTACTGTCTCCCATGGGAGACAGCCTCTGCTGGCACAGGGGAAGTGTGTGAGAGTTCCTTCCCCTAAGGACTAAAGAGCTGCAGAGACATGTTGAACTGATCACAACTCCAAATCCCTATCCCTTTGGAGAGGAGAAAATTAAGAGTGAAATTGAGCTGACGAAGAAGGGAACAGTGGGGGGGAAGGTGGTTTTAGATTTTGGGTTCATTCCTCATTACCCTATGCTGACTGGATTGCAATAAATTAATTTCCCTAATCTGAGTTGGGTTTTCCCATGAGGGTAACTGATGAGTGATCTTTCCTGTCCTCATCTAGACCCAGAAGCCTCTTGTGTTTTCTCTCCCCTGTCCAGCTGAGGAGAGGGAGTGATGGGACAGCTTTGGTGGGCATCTGGCATCCAGCCAGTGTCAAAGAACCATACCCTCCTTTCAGGTGCTTATATATGTTAGTAAAATTCATCTAAGCCTTTTCTCTGTAATGAAGAGTCCCAGCTCTCTCAGCCTTTCCTTATAGGAGAGATGCTCCTGTGATTTAATTCATCCTCTTTTTGTCCCTTCATTGAATTCTCTCCAGCACTTGCATAGCTCCCTTGTACTGGGGAGTCTAGAACAGGGAGCAGTACACCAGGAGCATCCTTGCTGGTGTTGGATAGAGAGAAACAGTCTTCTTCCTGAACCTTCTGGCAGCACTCCTTCCACTGCAGCCCAGAACACTTTTGGCTCTCTTTGAGGCAAGGGCCTATTGCTGGCTCATCGTCAGCTCAGTGTCCAGCAGGACAACCCAGGTCTTCTTCTGCAAAACGGCTTTACAGCTGAGGGGTGCCCAACACATACTGATGCACAGGGCTGTTCCTCCCCACATGCAGGACTTTGCCCTTCCCCATGCTGAACTGCAGGAGGTTTCTGTCAGGCCACTTCTTCAGCCTGTCAAAGTCCCTCTGAAATGCAGCATCTGCAGTATTGTAAAAATGAACAGGTGCTCCTGGGTTAACAAGGGCAGAACAAACATATTTCTTCTTGGGAGAACAATGGAAGTTTTTTATACAAGTAAGATGGCATTAAAGGGTCCAGGCCGCCTGATTTAGTCCACTGCTTTTCAGTCTTGTGGCCTATTGAGCCAAAGAACACCGAGAGACTCAAGTGTTATTATGGAAACCCAGACAGATGTGATGATTGTCACATCTGTCATGGGACAACAACCAGGTTTTCTGGGAGCAACTGAAAGTGACTGATGATGGCTGAGAAGTATAACATACAGTACCTAATAAAAGAAAAATCCCTAAATGCAGTGGCTCACCCTGTAATGTGTCCTGGTGAGACTAAGATATTCATAGAATCAAGAAGTCATAGGTTGGTTTAGGTTAGAAGGGACATTTAAAAGGTCATCCAATCCAACCCTTTTAACTATAAGATGTGTGGAGTGGGAAAGGAAGTTGTATTTTAAAAAAGTAAAACTTTTTTATTTTTAATGTGCAATTAAAAAACACAATGGAGTGGGGTGAAGCAGCCTGACTAGGTCTGATCTGAAAGATCACACACTTCCACACTTGGGTTATAAGTTTTATTTAAAGAACACATTAGGGAAAATTGCTGCAAGAGATGCTAGTCTGAATCTTCTGAAACATACTTTGGGTAGCTGGTCATGGGAAAGATCCACCTTCATATTTTTCAAAAAGTATCAACATCCAATGATTTTTCATCTGGATTGCTAGAATGACGTTTGCAAATCTGTTCAAAAAGAAAACCCTTCTTGCAGTGGTGCAGGGCAAAGACACAGTCATACCCACAGGTCATGGAGGAGGGACACCACAGAGCTTTTGCTGGGAAGCAATATCCATAGAAATGTGCTTAAAAAGGCCATGACTCTTCAGGAAAGGGAGCACTGTTTGGAGGGAAGCCATAGGAGTCAGAACCTTGCAGAGTTCAGATGTGCCAAGAAATGTGCTGGCTGATGCTCTCCAGGCTGTGGATGGGCCTTTGGGAGCCAGTTGTTGAGGGAAGCACCTCTACTGAGAAAATGGAAAAGATCTTGTCCATCTCAGACCTCTATCTTAGAAGAAAATTTTGCCCCTGAAGTGTCTGTTGATTATTGCCCTAATCTGTTCTACAAGATGTGCAGGAGGTCCCAGGAGGGACAGATCTGGGCAGGAGTGCCAGGGCCAGAGCTGGTGCTGGGGCTCAGGGCAAGGCAAGACTCAAGAGAGGTACATGTACAGGATCCATCCTGGGACTGCTGTGGGTGGTGAAGGGGCCTGGCCAGGTCAGGAGAGCTAGAGTAGCTCAGGCCAGACGCAGGAACTGAGAAGGCAGAGCTGGGACAGGCCTGGGCTGTCACAGAGCCCCTGGCAGGGACCAAGGTGGAGCTGAGGCCATGGCTGAATTGGGTCTAGGCGGTCTTGGTCTTGGTGCTCCCTGTCCTGGGGTTACCTGCTGACTCTGAAACATACTTTGGGTAGCTGGTCATGGGAAAGATCTGACTCCCACAGACTCTGTCTGGGGGAGAAGTGCACTTGTGGCTGGCTTGTGACACCTGTGAGGCCATAGAGTTCTTGGGCCTCAGGAAAGCTTCTCTGTCCTGAGGCAAGACAAGGCAGAACAAAGCCCTGGTATGTGTTTGGCCACCACTCCCTGTCCCAGGGCTGGCTTCCCCTGATGGGCACTGGCTTCAAAGGGAGAGGGGACTCCAGCCTGGGGCCTGCCACAGCTGATGCCACTGCTGCCCTGGGAACACCTCAGTCCCACAAGGAACACCAGGTGAGCCAGGCCAGAGGCTGTGCTGCAGGGGGAGAGGGCGGCACGGGGAAGTTGTCTCTGCTGCCCATGACCAGGCACGCTGACCATGGCCCCTGGATCAGGGGATGGAGGAGAGAAGCAGTGGAGTAGAGAATGTAGACCATTCGAAGGCTATTAACCCTTTTCCAATTCCTGCCATTCTTTCACTTGTGAGCATTCTTGCCCTGCACACCTTCACACAAAGCAAGAGAAGCACTCTTCCCCCTTGTGGAAATGCTGACCTCCTCAGGGCTTCCCACATGTCTGCAGTTCTCTTCCAGAGAACAGCAGTTTTCAGGAGTCCTGACTGTATGATGTACTTTAGCCCAAGTAGTATTTCTGAGAGGAGACACAGCCAGACAAGGACTGACAGCCATTGGCAGTGGAATAACTAGGGATGTCTTCCTTCATGGATGAAAGACTGGCTATGAGTTGAAAATGTGCTCTTGCAGTCCAGGAAGCCGACTGTTTCCTGATCCTACCCCTCTACATTGAGACCCCGTCTCGAATACTGCCTCCAGCTCTGTAGTCCTCAGCAGAAGGAGGACATGGATCTTTTGGAACAAGCCCAGAGGAGGCCACAAAAGTGATCTGAGGGCAGGAGCACTTCTCTTGTGAGGACAGGCTGAGACAATTGGGCTTGTTCAGTCTGGAGAAGACAAGGCTTTGAGGAGACTTTGTTGCAGCCTTTCAGCATGTAAAGGGGGCTTAAAAGAAATACTTTAGCAGATTTTTTTTGTGATAGGGCAAGGGAAACAGTTTTAAACTAGAAGAGGGTAGGTTCAGACTAGCTATGAAGAATTTTTTTTTGCAAAGAGGGTGGTAATTCAGAGGAATATATTGCCCAGAGAAATTATAGATCCCTGTACATGTTCTAGGTCAGGTTGTGTGGGGCTTTGAACAGCCTGGTCTAGTGGAAGGTGTCACTACTCATTGTAGGGAGATTAGAATAGAAGAAATTTAAAAGATCTTTCCAACCCAAAGTTCTATGAAATTCTGTGCTGCCTCAATGTGTGGAAGCAGTGCTGGAAAGAAGAATCATTGCAATATGTCCGACCCCCCAGTGACACTAGGAATGATGAAGGGTTCCTCTGGGCCCCTCAACTAATGGCTTTTCTGCTCAGCACTCAGTGTACATATAAGACAACTAAAAGACACAGGTTGCATCAAGTTTTTAATGTACACAAAGGTGAGAATTAATTCTAAGTAGAGGCTCCAAGTATGAAGAGGAGCAGAAACAGCCAAGAATTTTTTTCCTTTTCCTGTAGCAGAGTTCCTACAGGGAAACTTTTGACTTGTCCAACAACAGGACACAGTCCAGTATGCCCCTGCATGCTGGTTTCTGGGGTTCTCACAGCTGGTTTTGAATGAAGCACTAGAGAACAAAGGCAAGAGTGAGAAAGTGTGAGAGTGAAGGAAAGGAGAGGTAGACACTGCCAAGTTTTCAGAGAGCCCAGTATCACCTTCCTCAGGGTGATCCATTCAAGTTTGCTGTGGCAAGGCAAATCAGTGATAATCAGCTACTCTTGAAACAATGACACAAAGGCTTGATCCTCTGTCTGGCTTCGTGTTCTGAGTTCCTGGGGGTCCTTATCTGAGGCCATTGACAGCAGCTTTAGTAGGGACAACACCTGCTGCCACCATAGCAGTTGGTGATGCAGGAGATATCAAAGCCCCCAGAGCTGATGGGCACTCCACCAGAGCTGAGGATGCTGCCAACAGCAGCAGAGGTGGAGGATCCCACCACGGTGTTCTGTGGGAAGGAGCTGAGGATGGGGCCAGGCAGGGTCAGCACCACGGGGGAGGGCTGGATGAACACGGTGGAGTCCTGGCACTGCCAAACACAGGGCTCACTGCAGCTGTTGGCTGTGGGGCCACAGGGCTGGCAGAGCCAACAAGGTTCTCTATGCAGGACATGTCTTGGGGCATGAGGGGCACCTGGAAAGAGGTCAGGGAAGATACACAATATAAGGATACATGAGGAGCAGCCTGTCACCACATCAGGAGTTAAATAATATGCATGGCCACGAGGTGGAGGTTCTGCAGAGATGTGAGGGCTCATTGGCCTCATCCTATCAGGGCCTAAAAAAGGCCACAAACTCCTATGCAGCCACTGCCCGGGCCCAAAGATGATAAGTGATGACAGTCCCAGCCTCCCTGCATTCCCTTCTCACCACCTCTCGCTCCCATGACAAACAGCCCCAAGAGCCATCACAGAAGACAGCTGGAATCAGCTGAGGGGTCCATTGAGGTGAGAACTCCTTTTAGAGAAAGCAGAGAGGGAGAAAAGTTTTCAGGCTCACCTGATTCCCAAGGAGAAGAAGGCAAGAAAAGGGGATGAGAGAGAAAAGAGCTGGGCTGGCTTTCACCATGGACCTTTACTGACTCAGGCTGCCAGAGGTATCCCTTCTAGGGGTGATCATTTTCTGACAAATTCATCTTGAATGCAAAACATCTCATTTAATGCTGTGAGCTGTGGTTTGGCTTCTTAAATGGTTGTGTTTTCGCTTCCTGCTTTATGTCTGGCACATTCCTCAATCAAGGCATCTTTTGCATGACAAGATGAGAGGCACAAGCATTTCTGCATCAAAACACATCAGCGTCAGCACAGGACTCAAGCCACATGCTGGAGGAATCCATTAAAAGTAAATTTTGTCAGTCTGGGTCACTCTTAGGGGCCTTTGTCTCAAAGAAGTGGCCTTGTTCCTGGCTTTGACTGTATCCCTCCAAACACAGAGCCCAGGACAATTCAGGTGGGTGGCTTTGCCTTCTCCTGTCATGCATGAGGGATACAGAAAAGGGGAGAAAAGGTGGAAGGTTTTATTCTGCTGTGAGAATGAAAGGAAAATGACATAATAAGGGGGCTTCCATAAGGACAAAGGTGACAAAAGGAAGAGTAAGGAAAGTGTAGGACTGCTGCTGAATGAGACGAGGGCCATGGTGACACAGAGAAAAAGCTGAGGTGTTGAAGGTCTTCTTTGCCTCAGTCCTTATTAGCAAGACTGGCCTTAAGAAATACCAAATGTGGACTAAGGGTAAAGTCAGGATCAGGGAACACACACCCTTGATGGAAAGAGATCACCTCAGCGAATCCTTAGCAAACTGCACCCTTGATGGAAAGAGATCACCTCAGTGAATCCTTAGCAAACTGCACATATTTAGGCCCTGTTGGAATGTACACACAAGTGGTAAGGGAGCTGGCTCCTGTCATTGCCAAGTCACTCTTGGTTACCTTCAGCTGAGCATGGTGACTGGATACTGGAGCAAAACAAGTGCCACTTCTGTCTTCAAGAAGAGAGAAGGAGAACCCAGGGAGCCACAGCATTTTCAGTCTCACCTTAGCCCCTTAGAAGGTGATAGAGCAACTAGTCCTGGAAAGCTCTCCTAATCAAGGCATGTCAGTGATGAGAAAGTCACCAGGAGCAGGTCAGTGTGGCTTCACCAAGGGGCAGTTATGCCTGATCTTCTTGATAAGTGCTGTGGTGATTTGACAGGCTCAGGAGAGCAAGAAAGAATTGTGGATATTCTCTACTTGGACATGAGCAAAACCTTTGGCACTTTTGTGTGGATTCCTGTAGGAGCCTCACAGAGAAGCTGTTGATGTTGGGTGAGCAGACAGTGAAGTAGAATGAAAACTGACTGGCCAGGCATAGGCATCAGTGATGAGCAGCACAAAATAAAGTTGGAGACCAGTGACTGGTGGTGCATCCAAATCGTCAGGACTTGATGGGTTCTGTTTACCAACTTCACTGATGATGTGGGTGATTGGACAGAGTGGACCCTCAGCAGGTTTGCACACAACACCAAACTGGGAAGAGAGGCTTATGCATCAGAGAGTCAGGCCAGCATGCACTGGCATGAGGGACCTCAGCAAGCAGGAGAAATGGGCTGATGGGAAACTCATGCAACTGAACAAGGGAAACTGCAAATTCCCTTGTGTCAAAGAAGTCCAACAGTACCCCCAGCTCCAATAGACCAGGTGTTGCCAGGAGCTCAAGAGAGGTGACTGTTCCCCTTTATGCAGCACTGGTGGGGGGGGACACACCTGCAGTGGCCTCCTCTGCTGCCCTGCCTCTGTGACCATGCTGGTGACAAAAGGGATCAGTAAGAGAATGATAAAGTGAGTGGAAAATTGTCTGGCCTGCCAGGCTTAAAGAGTTGTGGCCATTGCTTCAAACCCCAAATGGCAGACAGCTCTGGGGTCTCTCGGGGATCAGCAGTAAGACCACTAGTATTGCATGTTACAATGAATGTCATGAATGGTGGGAAGGAGGACACTCTCCGCAAGTTTGGAGGTGACACCAAACAACCAAGAAAAGGCAGTGAACTGGCCTCTGTTGCTCAAGTTGTTCCCAGAAAATCCTGGAGCCACCTCTATAAAGGAAACAGGGAATACAGACTAGACTCTGGAAGTTCTCTGCAACATGAAACTAGGCTACGAACAGCTGCTGGAACATGGGGCTTTCAGGCTCCTCACTGCCATCTGCAGAAAATCCCTGGCTGCTGTTTCCAGTTCCTGAGCACAGAGGCAGCTCGGGGAAGCTGCTCCATCTCCTGGTTCAGAGCCTTGTTGCTGCCTCTCAGGCTGCAGCTGGCGCTGTGCCGGCTAGTTCTCGCTGGGATATCTTTGCTGGAGGAGGGGAAGAGTCCATATGCCAGGACAACAAGCTGTGCGTATGCAGAGCCTGAGTGCTCCTAGCCCAGGCGAGAGTCTGAGAGGCGCCAGGGCAGGACTCAACCCCGGGGCGGAGCTGGGGGCGATGGAGAGAGAGGAGAGGGGAGAAAAGGAGCCGGCACAGTCAGAGCATAGAGCCAGGGCTGGCGGGGCACAGCGAGGCTTGGCCGGCAGAGCGGCGGCATGCGGCAGAGTCGGGGAGCGGGGCTGGCGGCGCTGGCCGCGGTGCTGCTCGGTGCGCAAATGAAAATTACCGCCCTCTTTGGCTTCTTCACGGACCTCCGCCCCATAACCATCCTCGAGTCCATCGCTTCCTCTGTATCATTCCTTATTCACTCAGAAAACCCATGCCTCTCTTCTTTGTCCAACAATTCCTATACCTTCCTTTCCTCTGTGTCTTTTTGCATATTTTATGTAGTTATTAATAGTATTAATGGACATATCTGTTCCTGCACATATTGACATCCTCTGCAAACTATTCTACTCATCATCTCTGTATGTTCCTGCCTGTTTCTGCAGGATCTGGTTCAGGGGAGGGCTGGGGAGAATGTAGGTGTTGAGGTTTGCAATTTCTTTTCTCCCCCTCAGTGGATGCAGTCAGAGCCCAGATACTACAGGAGCCGTCACTGGAGACCACCGAAGGCACTGGCATGAATATCACCTGCTCACACCCCAAAAAAGTGATTGGCAATTACATCCATTTCTACCGTCAGCTCCCGGGCCGAGCACCCGAATTCCTCATCCTCGCTGCTAGAGGCTCCAAGGACGATCCAGCCATTGCAGGAGAGCTGTGGGTGTCGGCAGACCGGCGCTGGAGCGCGCTGTGGCTCTGAGCAGGCACCTGACTGCAAAAAATCCGAACATCGAAGGATAAGTCCCAGACCAGAGCTGCCCCCACCTCATACTTGTGCTGCCCTGACAGTCCCAGGGGAGCCCTACAAACTGACATCAGGAACCTGGACTGGTGAGTTTTCTTTCCCAGGGAAAAAAGCTGATGTTTGCGCTCCGAGTCCTGTGGCCCTGAGCGGGCAGCTGACTGCAAAAAATCGGAACATCGAAGGATAGGTCCCAGACAGGGGCTGCCCCCACCTCATACTTGTGCTGCCATGACTGTCCCAGTGGAACCCTACAAACTGACATCAGGAACCTGGACTGGTGAGTTTTCTTTCCTAGGGAAAAGAGCCGATGTTTGTGCTCAGGGTCCTGTGGCCCTAAACAGGCAGCAGACTGCAAAAAATCCAAACATCAAAGGATAAGTCCCAGACAGGAGCTGCCCCCACCTCAGGCCCACAGCGCTTCCCGCCATTGGCACTGCGGCTCCGTCAGGCTCTCCCGGCGGACATTCCGGCATGGCCCGGCTTTCGGGAAGCTCCCCGGGCTCTCCCAGCGCCGGCCGGGCTTTGGCCCTGGCTGGATGCCGGGTGCCCGGCACCGAAGGCGCTGTCACCGCTCTGCGCAAGGGGAGAGCGGAGAGAAAAGCCAGCGAAAGGCTCATCAGTTTAGTGAAAGAGAGGGAGAGATCCCTCCCCGGTCACCATCATGGACAGAACAGACAGAACTTGGGGATATTCATTACATTTATTGCCAAGGAAATCAGAGCAGGATAATGAGAAGCAAAAGAAATTTCAACAGCACCTGCAGCCCCAAACCCATGCCAAAACCTGGCCACACAAAGCCAATACAAATGGGAATGGCTCCACAGTGACACAGAGCAGGCTTAGATCCTGTGTTCAGGAGAAATTCTTCCCTGTGAGGGCAGGGAGTCCCTGGCACAGGGTGCCCAGAGCAGCTGTGGTGCCCCTGGAGCCCTGGAAGTGCCTAAGGCCAGGTTGGAGGGGGCTTGGAGCAGCCTGGGAGGACAGGGGAAGGTTTCCCTGGCCTGGCAGTGGTGGCAGTGGATGGAGCTCAAGGCTCCTTCGAAGCCAATCCATTCCATGATTCCAAAGATTGACGGCTCTGAGACAGAGTCATTTGGTGACATCATGGCCTGAACTGCTGTTTGCTGCGAGTTCTAAAGCACCACCACGGTGACACAAGCAATGCTACAGTAACATGAGAAGGACCACTGTGACATCGGCAGCACCACTGTGACACAGGAACTGCCACAGCTCCAGCTCAGGTCTGCATCCCAGGTGACTGCAGCCAGTCCTGCCTCGCCATGGACCTGGTGATGCGTCTCGTGCGCGCTCTGCTCCTGCTGGCCCTGCTGCTGGCAGTAGCCCCCTCCCCGGGAGCGGCCAAGGAGCTCTGCCCAGAGCCCTGCCGCTGCCCAGGCCGTCGGCAGCTGAACTGCGGCCACGCCGGCCTGGCCACCGTGCCCCCGGCCAGCCGCCGCCGAGCCCTGACCGTGCTGTGAGTCCCGCGGCCCCACAGAGCCCTGCAGCTGCCCCTCCTCAGCTCCCTGTGTCTGCAAAGCCCACCTGGGACACCCGGGGCACTCCCTGGCCACAGATGGGGGGGCCTGAGCTCGGCATCAGGGTGAAGCCAGGCTGGGCACACTGTGCCTTCTCCAGGCAAAGCCCGCTTCCAGCTCAGCAGGCCAATGGCAGGGAAATGGCTTTTCCTGAGGGGGGACCGGGTCTTTTGTCTCTTTGCAGAGATTTCACTGGCAACTCCATTGCTACTGTTGGAAAACAAGCCTGGAAGGACTACCCATGGACTGAGACCTTGTAAGTGCCCTGCAGCCTTTCAAATGGCAGGAGTTTGTGGATTTTGCCTCCTTTGGTCTGGGGCTGGAGCAGCTGCCCCCACTCCACCCACTTCCATTGGAATTCAAAGCTCAGCTGCTCTGCAAGGAGGGCTGTGAATCACCACAGCTTCCCAGCAGGGCAAGAATTGCTGCGAGTCTCTTGCAGCCCAGGGCACCATCCCTGTGTCTGTCTGCCCAGGGATCAAGCTGTGCTCAGCTTCAGCCGGCCAGGAGCAAGGGCCTGCTCTGGCCAGGAGTGGGGACGATCCCTGCAGGGACCCAGAGCGATGCTTCAGTTGTGCTGCTGCAGGAGATTTTCCCAGGACGATCCCATTTGCTGCAGGCCAGTGGCCGCTGTCACAATGTCCCTGTGTCTCCTTGCAGAGTGCTCAGAGACAATGAGCTGCGGGCTGTGAAGAGCCATTCCCTGGAGGGGCTGTTCCTGCTGAAGCACCTGTAAGCACCGTGCCCTGCCCAGGGCGGAGGGCTCCCTGGGGCCCTGCTTCTCAGGCCGCCGGGCACATGGTGCCCTTTGTCCCTCCTGGGATGCAGGCTGCAGAGGCAAGTAAAAGGGACAGGGGAAATGGAAGTGACATTTGTTGTTCTAACTGCAACAGGGATTTGTCCTGCAACGAGATCCTGTCCATTGAGGAACGGGCTTTTGAGCCACTGCCTTTCCTGAAGTTTCTGTGAGTGATCAAGTTTCTTTCTGGTGTCTTCAGCTCAGCCTTTGCACTGGGAAGCCTTCCTGTGTAGGAAAATGCTCCTGTTCCCCTAAATCTGCCCTGCCCAGAGCCCAGCTGAGCTGCAGAGGTCAATGCCGATGGCTGGAAGGCCACGCCAGGGCACAGACCCCAGGGAGCTTGTCCACACGCAGCCATCAGAGCAGCCAGTTCTTGCAGCCTTGGCTGCATCGTGGAACAGAAAGAGAGTTCAGCCTTTGCTTCCTCTCCTGGGCAGGCTAGAAACACTGAGAAAGCAGCAGTTTCCTCCCGTTTCCACTTTGGCTTTGCACCTTTCCTGCAAAGAGATCCCGCTTTGCCCCCTCTTTCTGTAGGGCAGGCCCGATTCCTGTGTGTGACCTCCTCTTTCCCCAGAAATCTCTCCGGGAATGGCCTCACACGGATCCGCAGCGGCACTTTCCAGGCCTGGCATGGGATGCAGTTCCTCCAGGAGCTGTAAGTGGCACCAGGGCTAAAGGCCCGCCAGGGCGAGTCTCTGCAGGGTCTCTGCCGGGTCTGTGGGCAAAAGCAGACTTGCCCTGGGGAAAGTCCTGATTCTGACAGTGGATGTCAGCCAGGGAGCACCAGGAGTGTGCAGCTGCAAAGGCCCTTTCTCCTGCCCTGCTCACCCCCTGCAAGGCTTCCTTGAAAGCCGCCAGGCCGTCCCCACGTGCCCGGCACACGCAGCTCACATCCTCACCATCAGCCCTGACAGAGCTCTGTATTTTCTCAGGATCCTCAGCCACAACCCACTGGCTGTCATTGCTGACGCTGCCTTCTTCAAGCTGCCCTCCGTGAGCTCTCTGTAAGTATTGGCTCATCTGGAGCAGATCCACAGAGACCTGTGTCTCTCTCGAGCGCCCTGTTCTCAGGAAAGCAGCGCAAGTGCCCGAGCAAATCTCCCCCTTGCCCAGCCTGAGTCTGCTGGAGACACAACGAGCCCGGCTCCAGCAGAGCAAGGCAAAGGCCAAGCGGTGCTGGTGTGTCCCCAGCTGTACAGCAACCCAGGAACTGGGACACAAACTTTCAGGGATGAGAGCCCATCCAGGTCTAGGGCCAGGTGGAGAGGCCGCAGGGCTCTGGGAATAAACTGCACTCGTGCCAGCAGCTCCAGGCTCCTGCCTGCTTCAGGGACTCGGGTGCCCTCAGGGGAGAGCAGCAGGAGAGTCGGGAGAGGGGCAATCCTTTCTGGTGGCATCTGTCTGCCACGAGAGCTGCAGGATTGCCCTCCTGATTCCCACGGGCTGGCTTAGAGCAGGGCGAGGCAGAGGGAAGCTGGGCTCCAGAATGGCTTCTCTTGGAGCAGGCAGAAGTGGATGCCTCTGCAGGCAGCACCAGCATCATCAGGGCCCTGGGCCCTCTGCTCTCAGAGCAGAGTTCTGGCAATGTCACCGTGGAATTTCATGAGCTCTTTCCAATGCTTGCAGAGACCTGAGTGCCACCCAAGTGACCCCACAGACGCTGCTGCTGCTGCTGCAGTCCACAGTGAGCTTGGAAACCCTGTGAGTGTGTGCGACTGAGCCCCAGCCACCAGCAGGCCCCGAGTGCTGGGACAAGGGCTCTGCTTGGGAAACAAATCCGTGTGCCACACAACCAGAACAAGCCCAGTAAGCTCCAGAGTTGCTGTTCCTTCTGGGAACGTGCCAAAACTCACTGGCTCAGAGGCAGAATCTCACCTTTCGGGTGACTTGCTGCAGGTTTCTCACAGGGGAGTTGGAACTTCAGGCGGGTGCATTTCTGTGTCATGTGGTATTTTGGGAGCACTTCTACTTTCCAGGTTAAAATCCCCTTTTCAATGTTTGGCATGGGGAGTCAGGGGCCTTTCCCAGAGCTGTGGCACACAGTTAGGCACAACCCCCATGTGTGGTATCCAGGCATTCCCTGAGCTGGGCTCTGATGGAGCCATGGACTGGGTGGCCAGGTGTTCCTGCAATATCCCCTCTTGTCTTTAGCCAAGTGCCCAAGGAGGCGGCCTGCTGCCTGTGCCAGGAGCGTCCCCGGCCTGAGAGCCCCTGCAGGACCATCCAGTTCCCGTGCCAGAAGCTGTGCAGCACCAGCGCCCCGCAGTGCGGTTGGTGTCCGGAGGGGCTGGGGGAGCTCAAACTGCCACTTGGCCTGAGGCTGGGGAGATGCTGCAGCACTGCCCTGTGCTGCAGGGGGGCTCCTGATCTCCCCTTGGAGTACAGGCTTTGGACAAAACACCTTGGGATGGGAAGTTCCTGGGGATTGTACATAGCTTGTGTGTCACATGCTGCCTGGAGGAGGAACAGCTCGCTGGGCCCACCAAACCTACGACTTCCCTATCCACACCATGTCCCCCAGGCAAGGAAAGCAGGAATGCCCCGTGCCCTTCCCTGGTGCTGGAAGGCAATGTCTGCCCATCAAGAGATCTGGTGATTCCCCGAACAGCCTGGATTCTGTGCCACCCCACTGGCCACTGCAGGACAAAGGGCAGGGCCCGTGATGCGCTCTGCAGGCTGAACAGCAAGCACTGTCATCCCCGCCTTGGCCTGTGCAGGGCGAGCAAAGCACCGTCCTGCTCTAGCTGGGCACAGGGCACAGAAAATCCTGTCCACAGCAGGGCCAGGCAAAGAGATACCAGCCAGGTTTCCAAGGTCCCCAGAGAGCTCACTTCTCTCACTGGCTCAGCCCCAGCTTTCCCATAGCACAGGCCCAGAGCTCTGGCGCCCTTGAGGAAGATTTTCCTGGTGTAACAGCTTGAGCTGCTGCTCTTGGGAAGGGCCCCGGAGCAAAGGAGTCCCTGGGCTTTCTTCCCCTGCCAGTCTGTGCCCCCGTTGCAGTGCTGATCTTTCCTCTGGGGTCTCTGGCTCTTCACTGGCTCCTGCAGAGCAACCCAAGCCTGCTCTTCTGGAGCTGTGGCAACCTCTGTGACAGCCAACCCATTCCCCAGGGATCTTTCCTTCCCGTCCAAACAGAACCCCAGGAGACACCAGGAAAGAACCAGCTCTCTGCTCTGCCCCAAGGGGATAATGGGATGGATTGAAGGGCTCTTCTCCTCTCCAAAACACATCCCCCACTCTGCTCTTGCGCTCCCTGGCCTTGAGATCAGCTCCTGCTGCTCAAGGTAGGCACTGAGCCTGTGCTTGCGCCCAGCCGCTGATCTGCTCTCTCGGTGTTCTCCAGCTCACACAACTGCGCTAGAGGCACGGGGAGAATCAATGGACATGGAACAACGCAGAGAGCTGAACAGCAGCCCAGTGTTGAGCCTCAAGCCCAAGGAGCCTTCACTGGGAGATGATGGAACTGCGACGCTTGCGGTTGCCCTGGCCCTGAGCACGGAGGGTGATGTCAGCAGCCTGGACAGTTCCAGACCAAATTCATATCCCCCTCAGCATCTCTTGGGGCACGAAGGCCAAAGAAGTGCTGATGACCGGAGGGCCAAGCTCAAGAAGATGGTGCACAAGGCTGAAAGCATCAAGACTGTGAAAAGCATTGTCCCACACCAGCCCCAGCCTGCCTGGCTGAAGCATGTGGTAGAAAAGACACCCTCAAGCTGGGATCAAGAGATGGAGTCACTTTTATACTCAGAAGGATTAAACCCCTGGGCTGCAGCTGGTGGATTAAAACGTGCTGACGATGCCTTCATCACTGGACAACACAGAGATGAGGAGGAAGGTCCAGCTCCCAAGAAGCACTACGTCAGGACGCACAAATGGCACAAGAAGAAGGACAGCCAGTATCGGGTTGGATATAATCAGCTTTTCTACGAGGTTTGGAGACCTGTGAAAGTGGAGCAAAGGTCCATATCTGACCAGGGTCTAAACAGGAACCTGGATTTTCTCTCTGACCCCTTGGTTCAGAGCCGCCCCGCTGCGAGCCGCAGAGGAGGAGCCACGGCTGAAGAGGAGCATTCCTCTATAGACAGGCACCTCCTGACCATCCGTGAAACCCCAGAGGAGGAAGACGACATGCTCCTCAATAAACCTTGGAGCCCCCAAAGTCCAGACCTTGCACCAGTTCCAAAAGAACTGGAAACCAATGTTGATCAGCACTGGCAGTTGCTGGAGGCACACAAAGGCCTGCGGGCATTCATGGCCCACGTGGAGCGAGCTCTAAGGAAGGACTGCAGCCTGCCCCAGCTCAAGCAGGCCTGTACCAAGATGGTCTTGAAGACCAGGCTGCTTCTCAACGTGCTCAGGGAGAGAAAAGAGAACCAGGGAGCCTATGATCCCATGGAGCAGTGTCGTCTGCAAGAGAACATGATCATTCACATGGCCTTGGGGAAGGGCAAGAAACTCACAGAGAAGGTAGGAGAGCTGCAGGCACTGCTGCGTGTGTCCTTCTAGGCAAGGGAGAATGGAAGGAAGGAGAATGGAAGGAATCCTCTTACCCCTGTGATCTTCCTTCCTTTCCTCACAGCAGAAACTAGAGGCTGTGGTGTACAGGAGCAAGTTTGTGGTTTTGCTGTTTTTCTTCATCTTCGTTTTGCTGATACCGAAGTGTGTCTTCCACGTAAGTCAATATCTTGTTTGACACACAGCTGTCTGTCTTGTAGCTGCAGTGCCCAGATGCCCCTGCATTGCTGGGTAGCACAGGAGATGTTTTTCCAAGCCTGGAGCTTGTGGCAGCATCCACAGCACCCAGCTCAGCAGGGCCCAGCCTGCCTGGGGGAAGCTTGTCCTATCTTCTCTCCCAGCTCTCCCCAGCTCTGCTTTGCTCTCCTGCCTTCAGCCACACAGCAATGAGAGCTTTTGCCCTCTCCTGTCTGGCAGAGTTTTATTACAGGGAAACTGACGTTACAAATCTCCCATTTTCCATCCCCAGAAGCGCTCCCGACGTGGCCCACTTGACTCCCTACCCGACCACACCAGGGAATCGTGGCTGAGAAGGTAACTGCTCCCTGCCCATGCCACTGCTTTGCCACCAAGAGTCTTTCCTGCACAGAGCAACTCCTCCTGGAGCCCCGCAGCACTGGGCACGGCCAGGGGCTCCCACGCCAACCAGCCCTTCCCACACCGGGGCTGGGATGGATGCCTTGGGCTCCGGTGCACTCCCAAATTTCTGTGAGCACGACCAATACCTCTGTGTTCCCACAACGGTCTCCTCTGCTGATGGCTCTGCCCAATTTTTCGCTGCTCCCTCCCCACAGTGGCTGGTGTGGAACTCACTCCCATCCTCTCCAGTTGCCTTTTGCATGCAGGGCTCATTCCCTGCATTGCCAGCTGTTGCCATCCCTGCTGGGGCTCCCCATCTTCTTCTTTAGGCTCTGCGGATGCACCCCTGAGCAGGAAGAGGTGCTGGCACCTGCTGCAGCCCTCCCTGCCAAACCTCCCTGCTTACAGACCAGGAGCAGGGCCCTCTGGGGATGATGGGATGTCCAGAAGCCTTTTTCTCCCCATTCACCTCGCTCACTCAATCGCTTTGTAGCGTTGGAAATGCCCCTTCCCAACTCCTCCAGCAGCGGCTTCCCAGACAGGGCAGAGCACAGGCAGCCCTGTTGCCCCCAGCCTCCATCCAGCTGCTTTCTTTTTTTCCTCCCTATTTTCCCTTTCTGATTTTTTCAGGTTCTGTATAAAACTGCCACAGAGAGGGAGGAAGGATAAGAAGGAGGCGCAGAACGTAGAGCAGAATAGGGCAGGGAGCCCCTCTGAGTGTTGCTCCTGTTTCCCTCCTATTCATGGCGCTTCCCAGTGCTGCTCCCCGTTTACGAAGTCTGAATTGCTATGGATTCAACGCATCAGGGATGCCTATGAGTACCAGAGAAAAGCATCCCAGGAAGACACAGAAGAAGTATGAAGAAGTAAGGAGGAAGACTTTCAAGAAGTTAATGGGATGCCAGCAATTTTTCACCTCCCCTTTTAGCTGAGGCGCAGTTTGGATGCTGTTTCATTGGCTGTTGTTATTCCCCCATTTGCTTTTTCCTTGACTGTTATTTTCATGCTGTTATTTTCATCCTGAGGGAAAGCCAGAGGGTGCTGCAGGCAAGCACAAGCTCTGGACACCGAGAGGAGGCATCGGTACCTCAGGGTTTTCCTCATCCCATGTTGCAATGTTCTCCCTGCATTCAATAAAAACAAAGTTTGTCCTTGTTCTTCCCGGTGTTGCTGATGTATTTGTAAAAGCAGTTTCTCTTCTCCTTCATGGAATTGGCAAAATTCAGTTCCAGCTGGGCCTTTACTTTTCTACCTTTCTCCCTGCATGCCCCAATGACATCCCTGCCATCCTCCTGTGGTGCTGCCCTTCTTGCAAAGCTGTAAATTGTGTGTTTTCCCTGAGTCCCAGGCAAAGCTTCCTGCTCAGCAGCTCTGCTTCCTCAGCAGCTCGTCTTCGGGCACACGGGCAATTTCCTCATGGAAAGGGTGGTCAGGCCTCGGCAGGGGCTGCCCAAGGAGGTGGTGGACTCGCCGGGCCAGGAGGGGTCCAAGGAAGTGGCTGGAGGTGGCACTGAGTTCTCCGGCCTGGCCGGCAAGGTGGGGATCGGGCACAGGATGGACGCTCTGAAGGCGGAGGTCTTTTCCATCGTCAGTGACTTTGGGGGCTCCGTGACTCTGTGGCCAGGCCGGGAGGACGCCTTGCCCCAATCACCGCCGGAGCCGCCCCGGCCTGAGAAAAGCCAGCGAAAGGCTCATCAGTTTACTGAAAGAGAGGGAGAGATCCCTCCCCGGTCACCATCATGGACAGAACAGACAGAACTTGGGGATATTCATTACCTTTATTGCCAAGAAAATCAGAGCAGGATAATGAGAAGCAAAAGAAATTTCAACAGCACCTGCAGCCCCAAACCCATGCCAAATCCTGGCCACACAAAGCCAATACAAATGGGAATGGCTCCACAGTGACACAGAGCAGGCTTAGATCCTGTGTTCAGGAGAAATTCTTCCCTGTGAGGGCAGGGAGTCCCTGGCACAGGGTGCCCAGAGCAGCTGTGGTGCCCCTGGAGCCCTGGAAGTGCCTAAGGCCAGGTTGGAGGGGGCTTGGAACAGCCTGGGACAGGGGAAGGTTTCCCTGGCCTGGCAGTGGTGGCAGTGGATGGAGCTCAAGGCTCCTTCCAAGCCAATCCATTCCATGATTCCAAAGATTGACGGCTCTGAGACAGAGTCATTTGGTGACATCATGGCCTGAACTGCTGTTTGCTGCGAGTTCTAAAGCACCACCACGGTGACACAAGCAATGCTACAGTGACATGAGAAGGACCACTGTGACATCGGCAGCACCACTGTGACACAGGAACTGCCACAGCTCCAGCTCAGGTCTGCATCCCAGGTGACTGCAGCCAGTCCTGCCTCGCCATGGACCTGGTGATGCGTCTCGTGCGCGCTCTGCTCCTGCTGGCCCTGCTGCTGGCAGTAGCCCCCTCCCCGGGAGCGGCCAAGGAGCTCTGCCCAGAGCCCTGCCGCTGCCCAGGCCGTCGGCAGCTGAACTGCGGCCACGCCGGCCTGGCCACCGTGCCCCCGGCCAGCCGCCGCCGAGCCCTGACCGTGCTGTGAGTCCCGCGGCCCCACAGAGCCCTGCAGCTGCCCCTCCTCAGCTCCCTGTGTCTGCAAAGCCCACCTGGGACACCCGGGGCACTCCCTGGCCACAGATGGGGGGGCCTGAGCTCGGCATCAGGGTGAAGCCAGGCTGGGCACACTGTGCCTTCTCCAGGCAAAGCCCGCTTCCAGCTCAGCAGGCCAATGGCAGGGAAATGGCTTTTCCTGAGGGGGGACCGGGTCTTTTGTCTCTTTGCAGAGATTTCACTGGCAACTCCATTGCTACTGTTGGAAAACAAGCCTGGAAGGACTACCCATGGACTGAGACCTTGTAAGTGCCCTGCAGCCTTTCAAATGGCAGGAGTTTGTGGATTTTGCCTCCTTTGGTCTGGGGCTGGAGCAGCTGCCCCCACTCCACCCACTTCCATTGGAATTCAAAGCTCAGCTGCTCTGCAAGGAGGGCTGTGAATCACCACAGCTTCCCAGCAGGGCAAGAATTGCTGCGAGTCTCTTGCAGCCCAGGGCACCATCCCTGTGTCTGTCTGCCCAGGGATCAAGCTGTGCTCAGCTTCAGCCGGCCAGGAGCAAGGGCCTGCTCTGGCCAGGAGTGGGGACGATCCCTGCAGGGACCCAGAGCGATGCTTCAGTTGTGCTGCTGCAGGAGATTTTCCCAGGACGATCCCATTTGCTGCAGGCCAGTGGCCGCTGTCACAATGTCCCTGTGTCTCCTTGCAGAGTGCTCAGAGACAATGAGCTGCGGGCTGTGAAGAGCCATTCCCTGGAGGGGCTGTTCCTGCTGAAGCACCTGTAAGCACCGTGCCCTGCCCAGGGCGGAGGGCTCCCTGGGGCCCTGCTTCTCAGGCCGCCGGGCACATGGTGCCCTTTGTCCCTCCTGGGATGCAGGCTGCAGAGGCAAGTAAAAGGGACAGGGGAAATGGAAGTGACATTTGTTGTTCTAACTGCAACAGGGATTTGTCCTGCAACGAGATCCTGTCCATTGAGGAACGGGCTTTTGAGCCACTGCCTTTCCTGAAGTTTCTGTGAGTGATCAAGTTTCTTTCTGGTGTCTTCAGCTCAGCCTTTGCACTGGGCAGCCTTCCTGTGTAGGAAAATGCTCCTGTTCCCCTAAATCTGCCCTGCCCAGAGCCCAGCTGAGCTGCAGAGGTCAATGCCGATGGCTGGAAGGCCACGCCAGGGCACAGACCCCAGGGAGCTTGTCCACACGCAGCCATCAGAGCAGCCAGTTCTTGCAGCCTTGGCTGCATCGTGGAACAGAAAGAGAGTTCAGCCTTTGCTTCCTCTCCTGGGCAGGCTAGAAACACTGAGAAAGCAGCAGTTTCCTCCCGTTTCCACTTTGGCTTTGCACCTTTCCTGCAAAGAGATCCCGCTTTGCCCCCTCTTTCTGTAGGGCAGGCCCGATTCCTGTGTGTGACCTCCTCTTTCCCCAGAAATCTCTCCGGGAATGGCCTCACACGGATCCGCAGCGGCACTTTCCAGGCCTGGCATGGGATGCAGTTCCTCCAGGAGCTGTAAGTGGCACCAGGGCTAAAGGCCCGCCAGGGCGAGTCTCTGCAGGGTCTCTGCCGGGTCTGTGGGCAAAAGCAGACTTGCCCTGGGGAAAGTCCTGATTCTGACAGTGGATGTCAGCCAGGGAGCACCAGGAGTGTGCAGCTGCAAAGGCCCTTTCTCCTGCCCTGCTCACCCCCTGCAAGGCTTCCTTGAAAGCCGCCAGGCCGTCCCCACGTGCCCGGCACACGCAGCTCACATCCTCACCATCAGCCCTGACAGAGCTCTGTATTTTCTCAGGATCCTCAGCCACAACCCACTGGCTGTCATTGCTGACGCTGCCTTCTTCAAGCTGCCCTCCGTGAGCTCTCTGTAAGTATTGGCTCATCTGGAGCAGATCCACAGAGACCTGTGTCTCTCTCGAGCGCCCTGTTCTCAGGAAAGCAGCGCAAGTGCCCGAGCAAATCTCCCCCTTGCCCAGCCTGAGTCTGCTGGAGACACAACGAGCCCGGCTCCAGCAGAGCAAGGCAAAGGCCAAGCGGTGCTGGTGTGTCCCCAGCTGTACAGCAACCCAGGAACTGGGACACAAACTTTCAGGGATGAGAGCCCATCCAGGTCTGGGGCCAGGTGGAGAGGCCGCAGGGCTCTGGGAATAAACTGCACTCGTGCCAGCAGCTCCAGGCTCCTGCCTGCTTCAGGGACTCGGGTGCCCTCAGGGGAGAGCAGCAGGAGAGTCGGGAGAGGGGCAATCCTTTCTGGTGGCATCTGTCTGCCACGAGAGCTGCAGGATTGCCCTCCTGATTCCCACGGGCTGGCTTAGAGCAGGGCGAGGCAGAGGGAAGCTGGGCTCCAGAATGGCTTCTCTTGGAGCAGGCAGAAGTGGATGCCTCTGCCAGCAGCACCAGCATCATCAGGGCCCTGGGCCCTCTGCTCTCAGAGCAGAGTTCTGGCAATGTCACCGTGGAATTTCATGAGCTCTTTCCAATGCTTGCAGAGACCTGAGTGCCACCCAAGTGACCCCACAGACGCTGCTGCTGCTGCTGCAGTCCACAGTGAGCTTGGAAACCCTGTGAGTGTGTGCGACTGAGCCCCAGCCACCAGCAGGCCCCGAGTGCTGGGACAAGGGCTCTACTTGGGAAACAAATCCGTGTGCCACACAACCAGAACAAGCCCAGTAAGCTCCAGAGTTGCTGTTCCTTCTGGGAACGTGCCAAAACTCACTGGCTCAGAGGCAGAATCTCACCTTTCGGGTGACTTGCTGCAGGTTTCTCACAGGGGAGTTGGAACTTCAGGCGGGTGCATTTCTGTGTCATGTGGTATTTTGGGAGCACTTCTACTTTCCAGGTTAAAATCCCCTTTTCAATGTTTGGCATGGGGAGTCAGGGGCCTTTCCCAGAGCTGTGGCACACAGTGAGGCACAACCCCCATGTGTGGTATCCAGGCATTCCCTGAGCTGGGCTCTGATGGAGCCATGGACTGGGTGGCCAGGTGTTCCTGCAATATCCCCTCTTGTCTTTAGCCAAGTGCCCAAGGAGGCGGCCTGCTGCCTGTGCCAGGAGCGTCCCCGGCCCGAGAGCCCCTGCAGGACCATCCAGTTCCTGTGCCAGAAGCTGTGCAGCACCAGCGCCCCGCAGTGCGGTTGGTGTCCGGAGGGGCTGGGGGAGCTCAAACTGCCACTTGGCCTGAGGCTGGGGAGATGCTGCAGCACTGCCCTGTGCTGCAGGGGGGCTCCTGATCTCCCCTTGGAGTACAGGCCTTGGACAAAACACCTTGGGATGGGAAGTTCCTGGGGATTGTACATAGCTTGTGTGTCACATGCTGCCTGGAGGAGGAACAGCTCGCTGGGCCCACCAAACCTACGACTTCCCTATCCACACCATGTCCCCCAGGCAAGGAAAGCAGGAATGCCCCGTGCCCTTCCCTGGTGCTGGAAGGCAATGTCTGCCCATAAAGAGATCTGGTGATTCCCCGAACAGCCTGGATTCTGTGCCACCCCACTGGCCACTGCAGGACAAAGGGCAGGGCCCGTGATGCGCTCTGCAGGCTGAACAGCAAGCACTGTCATCCCCGCCTTGGCCTGTGCAGGGCGAGCAAAGCACCGTCCTGCTCTAGCTGGGCACAGGGCACAGAAAATCCTGTCCACAGCAGGGCCAGGCAAAGAGATACCAGCCAGGTTTCCAAGGTCCCCAGAGAGCTCACTTCTCTCACTGGCTCAGCCCCAGCTTTCCCATAGCACAGGCCCAGAGCTCTGGCGCCCTTGAGGAAGATTTTCCTGGTGTAACAGCTTGAGCTGCTGCTCTTGGGAAGGGCCCCGGAGCAAAGGAGTCCCTGGGCTTTCTTCCCCTGCCAGTCTGTGCCCCCGTTGCAGTGCTGATCTTTCCTCTGGGGTCTCTGGCTCTTCACTGGCTCCTGCAGAGCAACCCAAGCCTGCTCTTCTGGAGCTGTGGCAACCTCTGTGACAGCCAACCCATTCCCCAGGGATCTTTCCTTCCCGTCCAAACAGAACCCCAGGAGACACCAGGAAAGAACCAGCTCTCTGCTCTGCCCCAAGGGGATAATGGGATGGATTGAAGGGCTCTTCTCCTCTCCACAACACATCCCCCACTCTGCTCTTGCGCTCCCTGGCCTTGAGATCAGCTCCTGCTGCTCAAGGTAGGCACTGAGCCTGTGCTTGTGCCCAGCCGCTGATCTGCTCTCTCGGTGTTCTCCAGCTCACACAACTGCGCTAGAGGCACGGGGAGAAACAATGGACATGGAACAACGCAGAGAGCTGAACAGCAGCCCAGTGTTGAGCCTCAAGCCCAAGGAGCCTTCACTGGGAGATGATGGAACTGCGACGCTTGCGGTTGCCCTGGCCCTGAGCACGGAGGGTGATGTCAGCAGCCTGGACAGTTCCAGACCAAATTCATATCCCCCTCAGCATCTCTTGGGGCACGAAGGCCAAAGAAGTGCCGATGACCGGAGGGCCAAGCTCAAGAAGAAGGTGCACAAGGCTGAAAGCATCAAGACTGTGGAAAGCATTGTCCCACACCAGCCCCAGCCTGCCTGGCTGAAGCATGTGGTAGAAAAGACACCCTCAAGCTGGGATCAAGAGATGGAGTCACTTTTATACTCAGAAGGATTAAACCCCTGGGCTGCAGCTGGTGGATTAAAACGTGCTGACGATGCCTTCATCACTGGACAACACAGAGATGAGGAGGAAGGTCCAGCTCCCAAGAAGCACTACGTCAGGACACACAAATGGCACAAGAAGAAGGACAGCCAGTATCGGGTTGGATATAATCAGCTTTTCTACGAGGTTTGGAGACCTGTGAAAGTGGAGCAAAGGTCCATATCTGACCAGGGTCTAAACAGGAACCTGGATTTTCTCTCTGACCCCTTGGTTCAGAGCCGCCCCGCTGCGAGCAGCAGAGGAGGAGCCACGGCTGAAGAGGAGCATTCCTCTATAGACAGGCACCTCCTGACCATCCGTGAAACCCCAGAGGAGGAAGACGACATGCTCCTCAATAAACCTTGGAGCCCCCAAAGTCCAGACCTTGCACCAGTTCCAAAAGAACTGGAAACCAATGTTGATCAGCACTGGCAGTTGCTGGAGGCACACAAAGGCCTGCGGGCATTCATGGCCCACGTGGAGCGAGCTCTAAGGAAGGACTGCAGCCTGCCCCAGCTCAAGCAGGCCTGTACCAAGATGGTCTTGAAGACCAGGCTGCTTCTCAACGTGCTCAGGGAGAGAAAAGAGAACCAGGGAGCCTATGATCCCATGGAGCAGTGTCGTCTGCAAGAGAACATGATCATTCACATGGCCTTGGGGAAGGGCAAGAAACTCACAGAGAAGGTAGGAGAGCTGCAGGCACTGCTGCGTGTGTCCTTCTAGGCAAGGGAGAATGGAAGGAAGGAGAATGGAAGGAATCCTCTTACCCCTGTGATCTTCCTTCCTTTCCTCACAGCAGAAACTAGAGGCTGTGGTGTACGTGAGCAAGTTTGTGGTTTTGCTGTTTTTCTTCATCTTCGTTTTGCTGATACCGACGTGTGTCTTCCACGTAAGTCAATATCTTGTTTGACACACAGCTGTCTGTCTTGTAGCTGCAGTGCCCAGATGCCCCTGCATTGCTGGGTAGCACAGGAGATGTTTTTCCAAGCCTGGAGCTTGTGGCAGCATCCACAGCACCCAGCTCAGCAGGGCCCAGCCTGCCTGGGGGAAGCTTGTCCTATCTTCTCTCCCAGCTCTCCCCAGCTCTGCTTTGCTCTCCTGCCTTCAGCCACACAGCAATGAGAGCTTTTGCCCTCTCCTGTCTGGCAGAGTATTTATTACAGGGAAACTGACGTTACAAATCTCCCATTTTCCATCCCCAGAAGCGCTCCCGACGTGGCCCACTTGACTCCCCACCCGACCACACCAGGGAATCGTGGCTGAGAAGGTAACTGCTCCCTGCCCATGCCACTGCTTTGCCACCAAGAGTCTTTCCTGCGCAGAGCAACTCCTCCTGGAGCCCCGCAGCGCTGGGCACGGCCAGGGGCTCCCACGCCAACCAGCCCTTCCCACACTGGCGCTGGGATGGATGCCTTGGGCTCCGGTGCACTCCCAAATTTCTGTGAGCACGACCAATACCTCTGTGTTCCCACAACGGTCTCCTCTGCTGATGGCTCTGCCCTATTTTTTGCTGCTCCCTCCCCACAGTGGCTGGTGAGGAACTCACTCCCATCCTCTCCAGTTGCCTTTTGCATGCAGGGCTCATTCCCTGCATTGCCAGCCGTTGCCATCCCTGCTGGGGCTCCCCATCTTCTTCTTTAGGCTCTGCGGATGCACCCCTGAGCAGGAAGAGGTGCTGGCACCTGCTGCAGCCCTCCCTGCCAAACCTCCCTGCTTACAGACCAGGAGCAGGGCCCTCTGGGGATGATGGGATGTCCAGAAGCCTTTTTCTCCCCATTCACCTCGCTCACTCAATCGCTTTGTAGCGTTGGAAATGCCCCTTCCCAACTCCTCCAGCAGCGGCTTCCCAGACAGGGCAGAGCACAGGCAGCCCTGTTGCCCCCAGCCTCCATCACCAGCTGCTTTCTTTTTTTCCTCCCTATTTTCCCTTTCTGATTTTTTCAGGTTCTGTATAAAACTGCCACAGAGAGGGAGGAAGGATAAGAAGGAGGCGCAGAATGTAGAGCAGAATAGGGCAGGGAGCCCCTCTGAGTGTTGCTCCTGTTTCCCTCCTATTCATGGCGCTTCCCAGTGCTGCTCCCCGTTTACGAAGTCCGAATTGCTATGGATTCAACGCATCAGGGATGCCTATGAGTACCAGAGAAAAGCATCCCAGGAAGACACAGAAGAAGTATGAAGAAGTAAGGAGGAAGACTTTCAAGAAGTTAATGGGATGCCAGCAATTTTTCACCTCCCCTTTTAGCTGAGGCTCACTTTGGATGCTGTTTCATTGGCTGTTGTTATTCCCCCGTTTGCTTTTTCCTTGACTGTTATTTTCATGCTGTTATTTTCATCCTGAGGGAAAGCCAGAGGGTGCTGCAGGCAAGCACAAGCTCTGGACACCGAGAGGACGCATCGGTACCTCAGGGTTTTCCTCATCCCATGTTGCAATGTTCTCCCTGCATTCAATAAAAACAAAGTTTGTCTTTATGAAATGAACAGGGTCTATGCCTTTATTAATGTTCAGCTCTTTATTGAAAATATCAGCTTGGCAGGGGGCTCGACAGGGAGCTCATCCCTGCTTTTGTAGCTTTCCTGGTAGCCGAAGGGTGAAGGCTACAGAGTCTGTCCCTGGAGTCTCCGTGGCACACTGGTAGCCGGAGGTGAAGGGGTGTGCAGTCTGTATCTGAAGTCCCATCAGACAGCCCTTTCTCCTTTTCTTCTGACACACTGGTAGCCGCAGGGTGAGGGGATGTGCAGAGCCTGCTGCCCAAGTCCAGCAGCAGCTGTCCTCTCTTCTTCCCTCCTGGTAAGTCCAGGAAGAGTGTGTGTCCTTTGTTCCTGCTTCCCACAGCCCAGTCCAGTCTGGTCCTCTGCAGGTTATGGTGACAGGTCAGACACAGACCAGAGATGTGGTTCCCTTTTCCCCAAGGAGCACACCCATCCAGCCCCCTCCACTGTGCCCAGCCTCCCATTTAGGGGTGTTTTCATCCCCAAAACCCTCTCCCGTGATTCCACTGGTCTCCCTATTTTGCATCCCAGTCCTAGAATGGTAGTGAGGGCGGGGCGGTAGGTGATTCCCAGGAGCAATTAGCTAATTAACATTTCATTGTCAATACTTAGTTCGAGCCAAGTGTCCCAGCAAGGTTGTTTTGTTCATAACAGCTTATAAGGACTTTTTTGACACTGCTGATTTACATGAGTAGAGATACAGCCAATGCTAACAAGTCGCCAACTCTCTTCAGTAGTTTTGGCAGCAATGAATTAGGGAAACTTATTTAAACTAAGGGTGAAAATGAGGGTTTGATGAGGTCTTTTTCCAGCACTTGTTCTTATGATGACATCAAACTCCATGTGAAAGCTCTTCTTGGCTTGGTGAATGCAATTTCCATCTTGAGAGATCCCTCATTATTCCACTCATTTCAGGCATACACACAGAAAGGCATACACACAGAAAGATCCACTTGTGGTGCTGTCATTTTTGATGAAGTCAGAGGGTCAAGCCTATGGACATGTCAAATTAGAACCCATTTCCCCTTTCTTAGCTTGTAACAAGCTGCAAAACAGTGGAGGAAACTTTCCAGTTAATTGGCAGTCAAACTCTGCATGGAACTGTGTTCTGTACCTCGCAAAGCTCTCTGGAAGGACATTTTTTATGCTTTAAAATTCATAGACTATATTTTCACTGGAGGATTAGGGGTGTACTCGAGCTATTCTAAAAGATGTCATGTCAACTGATCCAGTGTCTGCTTGTGGTTTGTCTGAAGTCTTTCATCAGTCATCCTGAAACTACAGGGATAGCGACTTCCTGACTGTCTTGAGGTTGGAAGGGATTTTAATTAGAACCCAGGCTATGAGATGTTGGATTTTTGTGAAACTTTTCTAGTCTTCTAATTTTGAAGTGTCCAGTTTAAAATAACACTGTGATAAGAATAATTATTTTCCTTTAATGTTGTTGTTTTTATATGTGTACCCTTAAAATTAGTGGGTATTTTGGGCTTAGTTATGGCTGAACATCACTAAAAACAAGACAACATCTCTCATAAAAAACCCAAAGAACCAAGCAACCTCATAGTTTTCTTCTGAAAAACCATAGGTTCACAATAAAATGTGAAGTAATATTTTGCGATGAAGCACATTAGTCACCTCTCTGTGGTGTATTAGGTTTTGGCATTTCCACAAATTCTCACTTGAAATATTTTGTGTGTCTATTATAATAATATTAAAACTTTTCAATTTGCCATTCAAAAAATTGAATGCAGTACCAGTACCAGCTGAAGTCAACAGAGAATTTTACACTCCCAAAAATTGGGCAAAAGAAAGGAGATTAATTTTAGATATCCCCAGTACTAAGCCAATATCAGTTGGCCACAATTTTTTTAAGGTCAGCGTACAATCTAAGATATAGAAATATTCTATTCTATATGTGGTTCATCTTACCTTGCAAAAGATAACTTTAACTGGTTAGAGCCTCACTGTGGAAAATCTCGTCTTTTTAACAGCATAACCAGGTAATCTAGAAATACCTCTGAAATGCTGGGTTCAGGTGTGAGATACCAAATAACAGATGAGAGGACTAGGTGTAGAATCTGCTATGGTGGATAGGACTCATACAGCAGCAGGTCAGAATTATAACCAGAATGAGTCTGGTTTCTAAGCAGCCTCAATTGTTAGTTAATGCGCCAGCATTACATGGTCAAATGTGCTCTAAATTAGTCCAGCTCCCTCTCCTGTAACACAAGCCTGTTCGTACATGTGGTACATTGACTGTAAGCAGAGGAAACAGTATGAAATGCAAAGCATTTTTATTTGCTATAATTTTCCAAAAAGAATCAGGAATTGAAGTGGCAGCTTTAGTGTCAAATGATGCAATGTTGCAGCCAGAGGTTACAGATGGCCTGGCTGAAAACTCCTGAGGCTGTCAGCAACAGGCAGAATGAAAGTGAAACTGCTTTCAGACAAGCACTTCAGAGATAATACTGAATCAAAACACAGAGCCATGGCAGGGGTTTGGGGTGGATTTTCACAATCTTTTATCAGTTGATCATTCAAATATTTTGATACAGAATCATTTACATTCAGTTGTGAAGTATATATGCTTTTTGATACCTGATTTGGTCCACTCCATGCAAATAAATCATTGCAGGAAAAATAAAGGATCAGAGGCACTGTCCCAAAGGTGGCATAGTGGTGGAACTGCTGTGTCCATGATGGACAATTGATGAGAGTTTGATCCTGTTTTGATAAAAGTTTGCCATCAGTACTCTTCTGCTGCTGAGTTGTTTGCATCATTTCACCTTTCACCAATGCAGGTCTATGTTTCTATGGCTTGGATGTGGAACAGGGAGTGAAACCAGGAGCTTTCAGTTATAGGAAACCTTTGGGTTTTGAAAAAAGCCCTGTCTACCCCCCTCCCATCAGCCAAAGTTCAAAGGGAGGATAGAGATTTCCTCATGCTCCAGGTGCCGTCCTGTAAGGAAGGGGCAAATGGCCTTATGCTAAAATGATAATAAGGTTATATTGGCAAATGTCATGATCATGCACCTCTCTTTCAGTCTCAGTTCAAATTTGACTTGGAAATTACAAACATCAAGTGCAGATGCCACATTCCCTCCCACATGAATCCCAGAAGAACACATTCTATTCTTTAGTCCTAGTTTAAATACTGTTGTACTCTGAAGTTTGAGTGTTATTAGCACATTATTAAATAATTATTAAATCCATAAAAATACCTGAGGGTCTGGTAGACTTTCCCCATGTATTAATTCCAAAAGCCAACAACTTTTTTAAAAAATCCTAAAAATTTACACTTTAGGTTTGTCTCAGTACCAGATGCTTAAATGAAACAAATCTTTTAAGTATAAAGTAATAGATGGGTAAAATTTAATAGCAAACTATTCATGTCTGTTTACAAGTCATTTTGATATTGAATGTAATCCAAAGCTTTAGTGTATCTTAAGTATTTCCGCACTTGTCCTGTTTTTTAAGCATTTCCATATTTTATTTTCTTACAAAGCATTCTTTTTGCTTTTTCTAGCTGTATTAAATTGTACATCTAATCAGTGTTAAAATGGGAAACCTTTGTTAATCTTGGCTGCCTTTCTCCTGGTGCTCACGACAACCTAAAGCAGAGGAAAATGAAAGTCAGCTTTGGAGCTTAGAACTCCAAAAGGCCTTTAATTTTTACAAAATTCTTGTTTAGTTATTCTCATTAAATATGAACAATCTCATTAATTGTCAAGAGGGATGTTAGATATAAATGAAACACATTAGACAACAAAAAGATGGAGGAAAAAAATTCAAGAAATTCAAGTTTCAGAAATTAGGAAAATTTACATGGTATCAAGTGTGAAGTGTCGGAATCTGTGGGTATTGTTGATTCCGAGATTGTAGAAAGTCTCTGTCTGTCAGCCCCGCTGCCAAAGCAGAAGCCATAATTGGTCTGTGCTGGCTTCAAGGTTGTTTATTCTGTTTATCTCTAACATGTTCTGCTGCCCTGCCGCAGCTCTGTCCTGCAGGGCAGCGTGTGGGGCTCTGCCCTCAGTGGGATGTTACAAACATTAAATACCACAAACTACCTGTGCTGGATTTACAATAACGTGCCAATATCTGTCACCTACGTTGGACAGTGTGTCCCCAGCCTGAACCAACAGAAAAATGCCAACACCACAGTGAAACATGGAGGGCATGAAGAAGGAGGAAAAGGACAAGACACACCCAATTCCTCCATCTTGTCCCCTCTGAACCCCTAATCTAGAAATCTAAAATTTTACCTTTGCACCCGTGTCACACTTAATTATTACTCTTATCAAACACTCAGAGCTGGTAATTCATCCTGTAAGATTGAAAACTCCTCTCCATGGACAGAGATCACAGACAGTGTCTCTGGGGGCTCTGTCCAGGGGAGTTCCTGACCCCTGCCAGGGTCCCAGGCCCTCCAGGGCAGCCAGAGGGAAGCCTTGGATTCCCACAGTGAAGTAAAGATATTTAATTGAAGTTCTCCACAAAAACAATAAACAATGGCAAGAAAAAAGAAACCCCCCACAGTGTACAAGTTCTGCTGTTGGGCTTCAGTCCTTTAATTCTTTGGAAGTTTGTTGCAGTAAAATTCAATTGGTTCCGTGTTTTATGTGCTGGCGATCCCCAATTATTTGCTTCAATAAAATGAAATTGCCTGTACCAGCACTTAAGAGCTTTTTCTGGAATATCTAGAAAGAATGCTGGCATCTCTTTAAAGACTTTTTGCATTTAATAAGGCTTTTGTTCTCTTCTATTTTTAACAAAGTCACTGTATATTCTTTCCTTTGAGCCGATCAGCAAATTCTACCTGCCCACACTGTTTACCAGAGCATTGCTAACAGTGAGGCATTGACATATGCAAACGAGGGCAAGGAGCCGGATTACTTTTTAAGGTGCAATGACAAACTAAGGAATTTTCTAATTTCTTACATTTTCTGTAAGAAAATACTCTGCTTTTACTTGCAAAATGA